CTTGTCTTCACTAGTCAGTATTGGACTAAGCACTTATACTTTCTTTTTGAGACCCATCTGGAGAAGTGAAATCGAGATACTCTGTGTCTTTCCTGGTTGCTTTTATCAAAGGAATGTGTCTTGGTTGGGTAATGTGTCTTGTTTCATAATTGCTTTTCTTGTTAATATTATTTTTCTCATCAACTCGCTCTATTGGGAATAGTCTTATGGCTTCACATCCTATGTAGCAGGGAGAGTACCTGACAATGGGATCGTGCGACATGCTCACCTGTAAGAGGCACTTATCTGCTGATGTTCTGCAAGCCCCACAGCTCCTAGCAGAGGCCGGTCACTGCAGGCTGCAGGCCCTTGGCAAGTTACAGGATTCGCTCATTCACCAAGCCCTAAGGGAGCTCTGGCCAGCAGCTGTCCGCCAGCCCTGGCCTGTCAGATTCCCAGTCACAGGCAGTCAGTGTGGTGACCCAGGCTGGCCGTGACAGCGTCTGGCCACAGGCTCAGACTGTTTTCTGAGCAGCACCTTTCTTCACTGAGAGCCACTTGCGAATTTTTTTTCAGGATACCACAAAGGCATCTTGGCCTGAAAACGTCAGTGTTTTGACTCATCAAAAAATTACCCATTTCATTTTTTTGGGGTTTGTAGCTGAGTGTGAGTGTTTACTTTCTTTTGCTCTACTGAAATGTCATACGAGAAGATGTTTTGGTGCTCATATCACCATCTTCCCTGCATTCTCATTGCATTCTCACTTCATTCTACAAAATGTTAAGTCTACAGACTTTGGTTTATACTGTAGATGTTGTTTTTTATTCATGTATTTTCCTGCAAATGCTTAATCACACAAACAAGTGCTCCCTTGTGGGCATGCTTGTCTGACAGATAGAAAAGGAAAAAGCTGAAGCATGAATGCTCCTATGCAGTCCTCAATGTGCTCCTTAAATAAATTCAGAAACAAAAAGCTTTCACTTCTCACAGAATTGTTTTTATACTCGTTTTTTTTCAGGCAGCCTTGGAAAATGGAAAATGCAACCAGCGGCAGTACCTTAAAGACAAGAAGTGTTGCAGTAAATGTAAACCAGGTAGACTCTTTCATGTGTGTCCAGTGCAACAGTACAGTACATTGCTCTGTTCACTCCCACCACTGTGAATGAATTCCAGAACAGTTCCACTCAACAATGTGAGATCATTCTCAGATCGATTCTATTCTTGGCAAGAGTGTCATCAATGAAATTCTTTGAAATAGAGTAGGCTGTGGAAAAGCAATCAAGCAAAACGTGCAAAACATGAAAGCATCGCACACTGCATTTCTGAATCCATATGATATTGTCTTCCCAGATAATGATAAAATGAACCCAGGGTCTGTAGTGTTCTATGACACTTGGCAACATTGTAATGCACTTGGAATCTTACTTTCAGTGGATTTTCACGTTTCCAGAAATGCACTTTGTTGCAGTATAGAATATGAAAAGCATACCGAAATCGCTGAGCATTGTGTAAGCACCTCATTGTTGATTTCAATCACAAGGCTTTGGAGAATTCCCATGTAACAGGCTTGTGTCATATTGTCAGATAGGACTGTCGTAACACTTTCTCAAAAGATTTATTTCTCAGAACTGTTCTTTTTTTGTTTCGTTATGCTAAGAGCTCCGTATATATCTGGCGTTATAAAAGCATGTGATTTAATCGCTGGAAATCCCAGGCCACATGCTGCTGAGGTTATAGCAGAGAAGGACAGGGGCCGGCCAGGTCACCCACAAGTTCTGGTCTTTAGGGAAGGGATGTTGATATCAGTTCATCAGTCTGTTGACAGAACGGGCTGCAACAGCAGGAGCTGGCCTGAGCTGCTCACCAGGCCCAAGCCTGAAGGCTTGGCTCTAAACACCTTGAAAGTGGTTCCTCATCTTTGTGAGGGCTTGGCATTGTGAGATCTCCCTGCTATAAAGCACAGCATTCCTCCCCTGCTTTGGATAGTATTTGAAAAATGCTGTTGCAAGGCTGCATGATAAGGAGCAAAGTGTGAGAGAGGAGTATGCTCACAGACCCGCCCATAATGCTGGTTCATAAATCCCCACTTACAAAATCTCCACACACAGCAGAGAGCAAATTGCATCATTTTAAATCCACTTGGAGGGACAATTGTGGGATGCCTAGGTTATAAGCAATTGCAAACTAGGATAAAATCTGTGGACTGAAACAGAAACTCTAAGAGATGGGCACTCAGTCATCCGAGCTGCATAAATAATTATTGTGTACATTTTCCAATGGAGTTCCATTAAGGTTAAATCGTATACGTTTTCTTTTTGGACACAGGCGAATTTATGACAGCAAGGTGTACTAACAGGTCGGACACCAGATGCCAGCCCTGTAAAGACAATGAATACCAGCCAGATTGGAACCAGGAGGAGAGATGCCATTCACAGAACGTTTGTGATGAAGGTTAGTAGCTACAACTGTTCTCTTCAGCAGAGATGGCTACAAGTCTGGTGTGGATTTTAATTGTGTAGTATACTGTATGTTCATGGAGTTGTCATTTAGACCTTAAGAGGACACCAGATCAATTCTGGCTTGATGATACAATTACAGCCACAGAAAAGGTAGACATCATGAGAACCGCTGACCGAGGTGCAGCAGAGTCACCTCTTGTTGACCCAGATGCTTCTCTCTGTATTTGCCCAGCCCAGACACACTGGTGATGAAATTGACAGTTGGGGAGAGGAATTATTAATAAGCAAACTCTGAGGGGAAGTGTCCCAGTAGAAAAGGAAGTCTCCGACATCCGATAATTTGCCAACCGTTCTATCTCCTGACCTTGTGGTCATGTGTTTTATAACTCCTTCTTACATCTACACACAAGGGTGTAGAGAAATAAACAGCTCATGTGACAGCCTTCAATGTGTAGTGTAATTAAAGAACTTGAACAGATTATAAGAACACTGCAGTTTACTTGAAGTTTTTATCTTAATCTTACTTCCTCATGCGTTTGTACAAAAGCATGGTTGAGGAAAGAACTTATGTGTCTCAGGAAATAATATTCCACAGTCATAGATTTTCAGTAAAAATGACACACCCCCCGGGTCCTGAGGGTGAACTTGATTAGAGGTATCATCTAAAAATCTGTGTGTGTGAAATGAAGACCTTTGTAAAAACCACAATCATGGAAACGCAAAGGACACACAAAGGACACCCATAACAAAACACATTCTGAGCTGGAATTTGGGAAATTGCTGTTGTTTCTGCCACAATAAATGTGCATATACTAAGAATAGTACAGTATTATATTAAATTATCAGTATTAGCATACTCTAATAACTTTTAGGGATTAATAAAAAGAATCATTAGTTCCCTTTCCACTGGCACAATGTCTGTAATGGGTGTTTACAAAATTAATTAATGTGTAAATCAAAAATATCAATTAGAAATGGCATTGTAAGCCGAGCAAATAAAGAGGAATACAAGGAATTTCCATACTTTATTTATGGAAAACAAATGGAAAAGCACAAACCAGTTCAGAATAAATTTTAGAATTATACATTCATTGAAGTCTTTTCACATGCAGCAAATTTATACTTTTACTGTTGTAAAATACTGTATATATTGTAATGGTTTTAGCCAAGTACAGTATACACAGACACAGCAAATATTCGAATTAAGTATTGTCCATTGGCCAACTTTAATAAACTTTACTATAACTATTAAAATGACTACAACAATATTGTGGCTACTCTTATTATTAATAACACACTTTAAAACTGTTTTGTGCAAGCGATTAGACTCGTTAAGACTCACACATCTGATCTGAAATATAATAAGAATCCACAGTGAGTCCCGCAACCAATCCGATGTGACCAGGGCTGGGTTTGGTCTCGTCCTTTTTCCCGTCAGGAAGGGGTTTCAAGAAGACGAAGACAATAAACCGCACAGCCTTGGTGCCTTGTGAGTGCCGGCCTGGCTTCCAGTGCTCGATCTTAAACTGTGTGTTCTGCGAGAAGATGGAGGAGTGTGAGCCCGGGTACGGAGTCACATTAGAAGGTAACTGGCACGGGCGCTATCTGTGTATTTGTGGGCACGGTGAGACAGAGAATAGATAGATGGATAAGACTTTATTGATCCCAAAGGGAAATTGATGTGCTACAGCAGTCCAGCCCAAGACCAGCAAAAAACAGACATCGGAATAGATGAAAAATTAAATTACTTATGGTAATACAGAATAAATATAAAATAAATACATAGGTGTGTGCAAAATATGCTCATAGTCACTGTATAAACAATAAAATATGTGCAAGGTGTGCGTAGGTATATACAGATTGAGTGTCCCAAAAAAAAAATTACAATGGAGCAACATGCTGTCCAAAGACGAGCAAATGAAGGGCTAACAGTCCTAGCCTAGGGCAGCGCTAAACACCCTGACAGCCGCTGGGAGGAAAGACTATAAGATAGTTCGTCGTCTGTGCGATCTGTAAGTTCAGATGTTTCAGCATCTGTTTCTGATTTTTTGGGGGTTTGTGCTCACCAGAGTCAGGCAGGACCGCCTGCATGAAGTGCACGGAGGGATTCTTCTCCAACGTCACCTCAGCCGCAGAACCGTGCAAGCCCTGGACAGAGTGAGTGTCAGCCACGGCCCTCTGCTTCTGCTCCGCCACTTGACCCCTGGGTTTTACAGTCACCGGCACAAGAGCCGGCGAACGTTTTAGAGAACATTTCTCAGACATTTTGCATGGCATTTCTTTATCGTAAGGCACATTCCATCACTTATTTCAGATGTTAACGTTTATCAGCGTCCGACTGTCGCCCAGGACACATCCAGTAAGGTGAGAAGTGAGAAGCTGCTGCAGGACCAGGGCAGAAATCCTTTGTTTACACTCCCCAGATCTTGGAATTGTTCTCCAGATCACCTACTTGTCACAATCTTTTTTTTTTTCTTAAGAAAGCACATTCATTAAAAAAAAATACGCCTTATGGAAATACAGTGCTGTCCATGAATCTATCATTTCACTTGCCAGCGTGTACGTTTTCCATGTCCCAGCCGCGTGGTAATGGGAAACTCGGCACCAGACCTGTGACAGGATCAGATTTTATTACCCCGACCACTCTAACTCTGCATACCCTCCTGTCGAGTGATCGATTTGGTTCGAGTTGTCCAGAAAGAATGAAAAGGAAAATGAGGCAGTTGTCCTAGGTGGCGGGCGCGATGGCAGGCCGTGTGGGAAGCCCTGCTTGCGATTTCCTGGTCAGGGGCTGTGGTCCCGGAGAGCCAACCGCAGTGCGGCACGATGACTAACTCCAGCACCACTTCCCTTGGAAAGAGCTGGACTGGTGCAGCCAGTTGTGTTTGTGGTGAATGTCAGACTGGGATAATTCAAGCTGATGGAAATAGAAACACAACTGTCAGCAAAAAAAAAGAGAGAGAAAAAATATTTGGTATTATTATTATTTCCTGCAGTTGCAGAGCCCTTGGAAAGACCGAGGAACAGCCTGGGAATGAAAAAACAGATGCAGTATGTGGGGTGCCCATTCCACCATTTGACGGTATGTTACTGTTTTCCCCCATTTTGATATTATAACTCGTTCTTCTTGTTGCCTTGAAGGTGGCTGTTCCACTGCATTTTCTTAAAAAAGCCCTTCAATTCAGCGTGAGTCAAGCAAATATATTTAGAACAAAAACCTTAAATAAATTGTATTAGAAGAAAGCATATCATTCTAAATAGGTACTTACTATATGTTAGGAACATGCCTGAATTTAAACAGCGACCATATTAATAATCCATATCTACTGCCAGAAGTATTTTCCTTGTAACACTGCAGGTATAAGCTCCACAAAGCCAGGAAACAGCTCATCACAGCACCTCTGACATAGAGGACACCTTGTTCCAAGAGGAGCGCAGGCGGCTTTAGTAAAGCTGAATTTTAACGTTCTGCGTTTTTTTTATTTCACACCAGGCAATGGCACATTACTGGGAGTGGTGATTGGCTTGTCGGTTATCATTGTGATATCGTTTGTCATGCTGCTCTTGGTCTGCAAGAAGGACAAGCTGAAGCCTCTGTCGGGTGAGTGACCTCCGACCTTACCTTCTAGTACCAGGGGCAGCACAAGCAGTCAGAATGGGTCCCCTGTGGACTGCATGGAAAAGACACGTCTTGTGTGTGAAAATCTAACTTGAGCAATTAGAACTTACTATATCTACCTGTCCACATACTACATAAGCACACGTGTACGTTATAGATAAGAAAGAGTGAACCTCTGACCTGATGGCTGCTATTCTCCCACCTCCAGAAAATCTTCGATCATGTGTGCTTAATCTGAAGAGAAGCAGGAAACCACAGGTAAGGGAAATGTGCATGTTTGTATTCTCTGTAACATTTTCCATTATCCTGTTCCCTTTCGCCCCGTGGGCCTGGGATACTGTATCTGTCAAACATCGATATCAAGAATAAAATCTGATCACTTTGCAATATGTCTGACCCTCAGGGCCACTTAAAATGTCTTCTGAGGAGTCAGACTATGCGCTGATAAACTTAATGACCAAGTTTTGTTGCGAAAGCTGCAATACTAATAACTTGAAGTGTTGGTTCTGTTTAATCGATGCTTGAAAGTTGCTCTTTCAGAGAGTGTGACATTGAGCAGGAAAAAGCTGACTTCTTTGTGGAGGGGGGAAAAATACAGAGAAAAGCTTCGTAAAAATTAACTCTTACTCTTGTATACCACACCCAAGTTTTTCATCTTACCTAGGAACACAAAACAAGTTTGAAAAACATTTAGTTGCAGCCCAGTGACAGATCAGTAAATTGCTAGCAGTTAAATAATGAATGGCTTCATTTTCACAACACTGCAGTAGAGGCGGTTCGGAGTGCGCCTGATATAATCGCACAATCCGATGACCTGTCCATCTTTCCCGTTTTGCAAAGGAGACGACCTCTTCCTACGAAGCCTACGGCGGGCCACACACGTGCTCCCGGTACGAGACCACGTGCCTGATCAGAAACGAGGAGAGCGCGCCCGATTCCCTGAACACCTGCTCGAACGCCGGCCTGCCGAGCGGCGACAGGGCCCCGGTCGAGTCGGACGAAGGGTGCGAGTCGGCGGGAAGCAGCAGCAGCAGCAGTGGCGAGCCGTCCGAGTACGACCCCTCGCCGCCCACGGCCTCCAGCTCCTGCACCTGCGTGCTGTCCCTGAAGGAGCCCATGGAGGTGGGGGAGAACGAGGACTGCAGCCAGGCGGTGGCCAGCGGCATCTCGCGGAGCTGCTCCTGCGACGGCGAGAGCGGCGCGGGCGCGGCCGGGCACCTGCAGGAGCCGCCGTCCTGCGGGGGCGCGGCGGGGAGCCCCAGCTGCCCCTGCGGGCGGGGGCCACGCCTGGACCCCGACAGCAGGGGGCGCCACCGGAGCGGAAACGCGAACGAGCCGTGCTGCTGCAGCACCGACTCCACGAGCGCCCTCGGCGACAGCGCTGGGGACGTTTCCCTGGAGGACCTGAACTCGGAGAGGAAGTCTCCCAGCCACGACACCAGGCCTTCCAGACACACTGCCGAGCCCCCGTCAGCCTCGGGTAGGTGGATTACCACGTGCTTTTACTGGTTAGACAAACGCGGGTCATACTTTATCACTGGGATACAGTTGCCATGAAAACACGAAAACGGAAAGTAGAATATTCCACTGATATCAATGATCTAAATCTGACTCGAATACAATTGACCTTCCCTGAACATTTTAGCAGTTTAGGAAGAGAGAGGAGAATGTGGAAACTTCCTGGACCTGATTTTAAGCACCTTAAAGGTGGAGAATATCATCAGAGATATAAGTATTGTGTTCGCCATTGCAATTTACTTGATATGACCATATATATTCTTATTCTAACAAGACGCAAATGAAAACTTCTGCATGGACATCCCTCTGAAAACGTGATTGTTACAGCAAGGCAAATTGCACAGAATCTTGCGGCTGTGACTTTTGAAACTATTGTTGAATGCGGTCCAAAACACACAATGAGGGTAATTTTGTGTTCCCCAAAGCTTTAATGACATGATTAAAGCTCTCTTCCAGTCAGCACTTTGGCATAACTGTTTAAAATCCAGAGGTTTTCCTGTTCCAGATGTTTGTTCAGATGGTTTGCAGTTCAGATTATATCTTTGTTTATAGGGGTAAGCTCTTTTTCCATTCGCCCATCTTCCGAGTCTCAGAGACACTGTCCGCCTTGACTTTGTGAAGGCAGAGCAATGGCAGAAGCTGGAGGGACTGCTTTGAATTGTGTTTTTGATCATGGAGTCAGCTCCTAGAATTATTTATTTGTATAGACAAAAGCCTTGGCACCTTTAGCTAAATAAATCATAGATGACAGTAGTTTTTGTGAGTGAGAACAGAACTAAATTAAAAATGTGGTAATGCTTTATTTGAATGTTGCTGCATGGTGGCTTCATAATCCCTTCATAAATGCTACACAAGATGTTATAATCGCGTGCGTAATGCTTTATAGGGGACATGCGCAAATATCGTAATGTGTGCAAAAGAGGTCAAGACATTTGTTTTAGCATCCCTGATAGTGCTTGGAACGATGCATGTGACATACAGCTTCATGCACAGTATGTCATTTGTACGTCCCTGTATAATAGCATTATGTGTGGCATTATAGTGTCTTGTGTGTGATGGGATTCTGCCCATTATTTAAATGAAAAATTCAAATGAAGCATTACCAAAAACTGCAGTGAAACGAGAATCCCATTCTTTAAAAATCAAACCCCCCAGTACTGAGGTAAGAGTGAAGATGGATGTTTGTGGAAGACAAAGGTGTTTTGTACCCCTTCATTTCAGCTGTGCTCAGCTCAGCAGCACCACTCAGCAGCTGTAAAATCACAACCTGTCCTCTCCCAGCTGAAGCAGTCCAAATGGCTCATGTAAAGTAGTACTTCAGGGTGGCCAGTGTTTCTGATATACACAAGTATCTTAGATTTATTTGAACTCGTTGACTTTGAGGACTCTCACTCCACTGGAATTTTGCATTCAGAACCAGAGGAAAATGAGAAAATGAAAATGGTTCTAATCTAACTTACTTGACATTTTGGAGTTTATTTATATATTATGAAGCAGTCGGTAATGACTAATTGGTAGATGAACACTTACTCACCAGACATTTGAAGCCTATATATATGAGTGGATGTGGATATTATTAAACTTCGGAAGTACTTACTGTTTGCAGAAGTAAAACAGGAACTTCTGCAAACTGCTACCTTTTTTTTGTTTGAATGCCGGGTATAAGAATTTGCAGTGCTGAGGCTCGATGTCTCTGTCAAACAGCAGCACTCATCTTTAGATAGAGCTTCATACGAACTTATGAAGTGCAAACCACTGTAAGTTCAAGGTCGAGGGGTCAGACTTTGCACAGATTTGCACAGCAAATATACCTGTATAGACTTAAATGAGCCAGCAGCCATATCACCCTGAAACTCACAATGGGAAGCCCACTGAAGCTCAACAGGTATACCTGGATGGAAGACATCCTGGGAAAGCTAAGGTTTCTGCTGGAAGAGGTGATAGAGAGGACCAACAGGGGGCGCTCACCCTGCTGCCTGTGTGGGTCCTAAAGCCCCAGTATAGTGACGGGGACACTGTACTGTAAAAAGGCGCCATCCTTCAGATGAGACATAAAATCGAGGTCCTGACTCTCTGTGGTCATTAAAAATCCCAGGGTGACTTCATCACTCTGTTCCGCTCCCCACTGAGAGCTGGTGTGTGGGGAGTGTACTAGTGCATCATCCAGATGGGGCTGCACACTGGTGGTGGTGGGAGGGGATCCCCATTACCTGTAAAGCATTTTGAGTGGAGTGTCCAGAAAAAGCGCTATAGAAGTGTAAGGAGTTATTATTAACTATCGAAAGAATCTCATGTCATGGGGAACTAGAGGGAGTGTGGCTCGTTGTCAACAGTGAATCGTTGAGGCCTGCGGTTCTCAGGGCCGCCCAGGTGTGGTGCTGAAGGCAACGCAGGGGAGGTAGGTGAGGCTCACAGTGGGCTGCAGCCTGGCCTCCCTGTGCTCAGGAGCCAGCAGGTGAGCCAGTCCCCAGTCTCGCCACAGTGTCCGTGTGCCCCAGATCTGAAACATTGCGAGGTTTCAGATCTTTTACAGCTAGTTACTTGAGAATGAAATTCTTCATGAACTCCTTTTCAAGCCGTTACCTTCCTGCAAATAAATCTACAGCCGTGGGTCAACGGACAGCACAGCAGCGCAATTTCCACGAAAGATAAAGTGCTCGCTTGTGCATTTAAGTGCATTTTCGTCACTTGCTCCGGATGCTGTAGGGCCTTCTGTGCGTGTTATTACCATGGCAGCCAGATTTATTTAGTACAGCAACGAGCGTTCCCTAGCTTCTAGCTCGTGCCCTGTTGAAACCCATGAGCAGTCGCCACTACACGTGTAACAGGCGCCGGTCTCGTTCTGCAGGCAGCGTGACGGGAAACAACAACACCACGTTCATCTCAAACGGACAGGTCATGAACTTCACGGGGGACGTCATCGTCGTGTACGTCCGGCAGAACTCGCACGGCAGCAGCGGGACCCCCGAGGACGGCTTTGCCAGCCCGGTCCAGGAGGAGACCGGCGCGCCCAGTTTTCCGGGGAGCGCCGATGCGAAGGAGGAGGACCCCGTCCAGGGGAACGCCGCACGTCCCCTGCAGGAGGAGACGCGGCACAGGAAGGAAGGGCCCTTGAGGAACACGTCTGTGCCCGTGCAGGAGGAGAGCAACGAGTGGACCCAGCAGAAATGCGTTTAGACACCAGAAGCGTGGTGGACTGGTGTTTTGGAATTACACGGTGCCTTAATAGGACACTCTACGTACCCACTCAGGGTGCTGCAGGTAGCACTGGGGCAGGAAGGACTTCTGCTAGGACTTTGTCTTTTAGTTTTTAGTATTCCGGATTGCGTTGCTCAAACCGACAGGGCAATTTCAATGACAATAAAATGCTATGCATTTGTTAAATTATTTGAAGCCTATTTTTTTCTCAGCTGTAATTGATTTTCAGTCCCAATTCTTTGACTAGTTACTAGTATTAGTAATGACTGGCATTTGCAGATCCTGTGTTCTTGAACGAGCATGAGGTCTTGAAATCTAGGATTCAACTTAGTTTTGTGTGATGCAAATAGACACAAAAAGCTAGCTTCCATTTCAGTGACTTCTTCAAGTTGTTGGTAAAAGACTGTTGGGACAGTAATAACAGTGCCTCCCAATGTTAGGTTGGGTTGAATGTAAGCTATAATGTCAGAAGAGTGCATCTGTACACTGTATTTGCTGTTTCCTTTATTCCTGGGGCCTGAGGCTACACTGGATCAACAGTTAAGGGCTGTTACACGAAGAAGGGTTGTGTTGGGAGACATGGAACACCTCGCTCTTTGTTGTTTGAGCCCATCCAGCGAAGCCTCAGAGCGCAAACACTGCTGGAGAGTGAGGCGGAAGAAGGAAGGAGCTGAACAAAGAAAAGGAGAAAACCTCTGTACCACTTTACTTGAGGCATCACCTGTCAGGCATGTTAGCTGCGTGTTTGCCTTGTAATGCCTGGATTTCACATCACATGCATCTTGCTGTGTAAAGAGTGGCTAGGCGCTACTTATCTCTCATCAATAATAACAGGGTAACATACAGCCCTGAGGCTTTCACTGGCTCTTAATGAGCTGTGTTTCAGTAATGACACAGTAATGCTTGTCTAGAAGGTACCTGTTTTGAAGAGTTTTGTCACTTTCTTGTTTCAAGGTTCCGCAAACGTTCAGCCCATTTGTGTTAGTATTCCTGTCTTAAAACCACCCGTTCTGTTCCCAGAGCATGAGAACACCCTCACTCCCACTTGCTCTTCGTCCTGTTAGAAAGATTCTTCTTTTGTTGTTTGCTTGATGCCACCTGTAGGGAAGAGAAACGGATTGAAAGGCCTATACAGTAATTAAGTGATACATTTTAAGCTATTGAAACAAAAATGGATTTAGTTTTTATAAGCATTCTAGAAAGCTATTAAAGGTTCATATATATATATTAAGAGACATCACAGGTTGGGAATGGAGAAATAAAATTAATATTTTTTCATTTACATGAGTTTTGCCTTTTTTTAGAATTTTATTTGGATATGAAAAAGATGGAGCAACTTTGCACTAGAGAATCTACAAATACTGCCCCGTAACTTTCCATTTAAGGGGTGTTCAAACTGCGCCCTTGTATAAAATGTTTTGTATTGTGTCTTTAACATGTATAAATGTTTTTTTTATAAGATTTTGTCTTTTAGTCTATTTTTTCAGTCTTATGTTCAAATACAGAATGCTGCCACATTTTTGCCTCTTAAAAATCTTTGAACATTTTCTTGTGATTTTCTGTAATGAGCCAAAAATAGATCATGGAAAAAACCTATATATAAAATGAACAACAGAAGTTCTGGAGGCAGGTTAGATCCTATTTCAGTTCTCCTATGTACGTCTGTCAATCTCTTGCCTTCTTGACTTCTCTTTGCATGTTTCTCTGACGCCCCACCTGCCACTCCATCTACACCCCTGTTGTAGCTCCCTGGCTCATTCCTCAGGGAAGTGAGGAGAGGGTTCGTCAGACTGTTGTTCTCTTAGCTAGGAGAGTTCTTTAAAATAACCTCTAATTACCATTCATTAGAATCTAACCGACCTGCTCAATTGATTTTTGAATAGAGTACTGAAGGTTGATGTTGTCACTAAATGGGGTGTACAGTATACCAGATGTTTGTGAGGATGGTTAGATCCAAATCTTGCCTACTTCCACAATCCTATATATACATGTATCTCTCTCACCCTCTGGCCTTTTCTGTGCATGTTTCTCTCACACCCCTCCTGCACACCCCTGCTGCAGCTCCCTGGCTCATTCCTCAGGGAAGTGTGTGTGAGTCCACTCGGCCTCATCCATACAGTCAGGCTGCTGTTCTCTCAGTGAATTACCCCAAATAACCTCTAATGCCTTCATCCCTCTATCACACTTATTAAAATCTAACTGAATTACTGAGTTAAAGGTCGGTATCACATCAGCGATGCAGGAGGAGAGTCCTTTGTTATCAGAATGAAGTGAGTTATATTTCAAGGCGAGCGCTTCCATTCTTTGACGAGTAGTTTTTAATTCATGTGAACTGCAGCAGAAGAAGACAAATATATACATACGGTATACCGTATATTGTGTATATAAACACTATTTTAAGGCACATAGGAAATAATGACAGATTGGTCTCTGGCATGCATGTGACTATGAAATATCATTCTAAGTAGACATTTATTTTAAGTAAAAGTTTACTGACATGTATTAGTGTAGATCATGTCTTTTTGTTTTGTTTCTTAAGAGCTTTAATTTTAATATATTTTATTTTTTTTTATAAATTAAAGCAATCTTATGTTTTGGAGGAACTTTTTAGTACATGAATACATACAATTTCCCATACACCCAAGTAACTGTGAAAATACCTGACATTTTCTGTAGTCTGGCTAAAACAGTAAACTACTGAACTTAAAATACACTGTTAAGTACATATATTTAGTAAATACAGTGTTTTTGAAATTCAAATTCAAAACACACATTTAAGTATTTAAGAGTGAATACAGTTTTTTTTAGCTTTTGCTGACGTTTCATTCCTTTCACCTGTACGATTATTAAAAGTATTCACTTTTAAAAAATATGCATGCATCGTCTGTAATTGAACAACATTTGAAGGAGGTGAATATTGTTGCAAGGCACTATATGGTGTTATTGTGTGAACTGCTTGTGAGTCAGCCCATAGATCAAGGCTCTGTGCTGCAGGCCTGCTTTGCTGTGAAATTGCAGGACACATGCAAAACCCACATCAAAATAAATGAGTAGAGCAAAACACAAACAAAATTTCATGCTCTTGGTGGGCCGTAAGACTAAAGAGTTTCAACCACCCCTACAATAGTATGTTAATAGTTGCTTGTTAACCGTAACAGTTTCCCTGTAATTAAAATAAAATGTACCATTGCTATAGCCTTACAGTTCCTCCAGTTGTTTCTACACAGAGAAAAATATAACAGTGTTGTGAGATATCCGGATATTGTTTAACATCATTACGGATTATCTACTTTCATACCATGTGCACACATACTGTACATACGGTACAACTGTACGACAGAATTCCAGGCTGTGAGGCCAGGCGCCCTCCCTGTCCCTCTCACACAAGCCAAAAAACGCAGGGCCCCATTTCCAAAACACTTTCCTACCCTGGGAAGCATTGAGGGGTACGTAGCTAAATATTTTGAAACCAGGTCCCATAACCTTTTAAAAATCATTGAATGCCTTTGCGCTGAAAGGAAAGTATTGACGGTGAGATGAAGAAATTCGTTCTGCTTTCTTTTATGAGGGGAATTTACAGTACACAGTATGTTAATGTGGGATGTAATGGATTTGTGCTCATATTAAAGAACTGTCTGGGGATTTGGGATTTTCAACCATTCGCACAGGCTGTGGGTTTTAGGAGATTCTGTCTCTGACAATGTTTAAATGCTACTCGTACGTGTTTCAACAGTGATTGAATGTATTGTGCGCACTAGTATAAGAATTTCAGCTAATGCGAATGCTGTGCGCGTATCAAGCTCTCAAGAATGCTCCGAGCTGAGGGAACTGAAATAATCATGAAATGGATTTTTAGGGTTATGGTGCCATCTAGTGGTAAAAATGTATGTTCTTTTAGAAGCTGGGAAAACAGTGTGACGAATACTCTGGAATTACGGAAGCGCATTGCTGCCACCAAGGGGAAAGAAAAAATTCGCCCCCTTATCTCGTAATTACTAATTACAATGTAATTAGTGTAATTTATGTAATTACAATGATGACTTCTGTGTATGTACAATCTGTTACATTGTGCACTGAACGCATCTAGAAATTCTGAAATTCTGCATTTCGCGGTTTAGGGCAAAGTACATCGGGGTGTGTTGGCAGTTCTAACACGGATTGGAGTCAACTTTCAAAACCAAGTGCTCTTTCCTTGCGTTTGCATGACCTCTAATTAAAATCGCTTATTTACAGGAATTGTTGCAATGAGATTGGAAACTAAAAGTAATGGCTGTTGCAAACGTCAAAGCCAAATCACTCCATTAAGTTTCTCTTTGACCAAGCAAAACGAGACGCGTTAGTAAGAGAAATGAAACTTTCACTTTCTTCATTGTAGCTGTGAGGAGGGTAGCTAAAGATGTCCTTGCTTTGCTGTAAGTATTATGTTTTAATTATTAAAACCAACTGAACTGCTAGTGTCATTGTTAAATGTAACGGTACCTGAAAGTAAACAAAGTAACCTTTACTCCTAACACATTGACCAACCAGAGTGCGAAACAGGCACTGAGGCTTGTGATATTTGGGACAGATGGACTCACAGCTGGATGTCCACTCTGTCCAGCTCCGTCCCGATGATTGTCAGGTAGATGCCCTATTGAGTGGACACTCTGATGGTCCAGGCACCAGCATATCTCCTGATCCAGCAGGGGGCAGATTCTTAGTGCCCGCATTATTCTTCAACCATCATCATGATCATACAGGCAATCATCATCCCGAGTCTCTGAGTCACTTGATTTTAGATTGGTGAAGGTTCGGTTTGTTAACAGCATGACTGAAAAAACTGCTTCTGTATAATGGAAACCAAGAAGAAACCTCCAGTGACAGACCAAACACCGGTGAGAAATCAATCTCTATTTAACTTCAGTAGATGGCAACAGTCTGAACTTTTGTGATTCCACTAACTGCTGCATGAAAATCTTGAACTAAAGTTTGCTTCAGGATGGGGAATTCTTTTTTTTACTGAAGGCAACAAAAAATTTTCTTTGAAACTATGCGTTTTCCTGTGAAAATCATGCTATGGGATTCAGCAGATTTAAAATGGACTTTGAAATAAGTTCTTTTGAAATAAGAACTGTGAAAACAACGGAATGCACGAGTCTAGTTACTACCAGCCCAGACACCAGCTGACAGTGCCGAGAATGACAACTCGAGCACTGTTTCAGTTGGAAATTTTCCCAGGAACATTTTCCAAAGCAGTTGCACTCATGTAGCATTTAACAGTCCTTCGGGAGGGGTGAGTATAGTAGAGCCCTTCTCCACAGCTGTTCTAAATCATAATACTTCCCATTTTTCAAAGCTAAACATATATCATATGCAAATCCTCTCCTTTCAGATTTTGAACTCGCACCCTCCTCCTCCACCTGACCTCCTCCTGTGCAGCTGTCCCTTAGTTTGGCTCACAGAGGCAGGTAAAGCCCAGATTCACTATGCCTCAATCCCCAGGCGCATCCAGTTCTTGAGTGTTATTCCTCGTGAACTTCTCCTAAACTAGAAGAAAGACGGGAGAGGACGGGAGCATGTGCTCGGAGCATGTGTGCTAGCGATTACACCACCTAACGACAAATCCTGAAACTTTTTTCTCATCTGCGGATTTCTGAGAGTGTGATCCAGTGTTGATATACAGTACCTGTTCTTGCCAAACCATTGCCGTCTTTAAATGACATTAAGTGCACCACGTTTGTCACAGAGCAATAACAAAACGCACCTGTTTGTGCAGCTCTTTTGTGTGTCCTGTTGTGTGGCCAAGCAGCTATGGAGATAACGGCTAATTGTGGAGGAGACGTTTTAATCTCATGTCCGGCAAAATCCGAACAAGATGTCCAGTACAGAGCTATAAGCTGGTATAAGGTAAGAAAGCAAAAAAAAAAAAAACTCACTTTACATACTGTATATGGTCTGATATTCACCTTCTGTTTTCAAACTAATGTATCTGGATCATTATCTGCTTATGGTCATTCTTTGAAATCATACTTTTTTCTCTTGAATTTTGTAAAAAGCCACAGTATGCCTAAAGCAATGATTTCTTATGCTAAAACTTTTGTACTTTTTTTTAACAGTCTTGGGGCTCACTAACATTAAATGTTTTCTAAGAAAACGAAACGAGACGTATCGACTAGGCTTAAGGGTGATTTGAATGTTGAGGTGTCGTCTCGTTCTTTTGTGAATCGCATGCTGGTGAAGTATGTGTTGAATTCCGAGTCTGATGCTTTGTGTTTTTTCCATAGGTTTCTGATCAAGGCCACTTAAGTGGTATCGTTCGCTGGAATCTTCAGAGCAACTTGGTCAGTGTCTACAGTGACCTGAAACAGTCAGTGGGGTTTCCCACTGGAGACGGTTTCACAATTGAGCTGAGAAACCTCACCCAGCAGCACCCCGGTGTCTACAGGTGTACACTGTGGGCGCCACTGGGGCGCCAGAACAGGGAAGGAGACACCCGACTAACAGTTACAGGTACTGTACTCCTCTGCACCCACAAACCATTGCTCCGCATCTCAGGTGTTTTTCTGTGTGGATTTCCCCTTGGAAGGAGGCCCGTTCGGTGTTCAGAAAGAGAAAGAACAGTCTTGCAGGTATCTTAGGTTTCTCCTCGTGCCTCTTCTTGGAAATCACCTGAAAATCTGAAAATTGTATTCAACCCGAAATACAACGTGGTGTGTTCCAGAAGGAGTGAAAGCCCCTTCCACAGGGCCAGCTGTGGCAGTCCTGCCTGGCCTTCTAGAAGAGGCCACGTGGACCTGCCACATGGTTTCTTAAACATCAAGAATAGCACATCGAGAAAATGCAACAAAACACGAGGAGCCTAATGCATTGAAAAGATAGTGTTTTCCTAGAATTAAAAATTAAGCAGTATTTAACGTGTGGTTTAGAACTGTAGGAACAAGTTCTTCATAACTAGTGATTTTGTTGCGTTTTTCACCTGGATATCTTGGCACAAATTATTGAATAAAAACAACGTCTTGCAAAACGTACTTCTTATTCATAGACTCACATCGCCTAGCTCAATTTATTGAAAAATATTTAAAACAAGTTTTTAGCTTTGCTGAATGATTTTGTGTAACGAAGAAGGGAGACAGCTATATCTGATTTGATTTAATGGAAATCTGGTGATGTTAACCTAATCCACTCAATATGTATATTGTGCTGTGTTCGATATTGTAGCTCGAGGACAATGTAGAAGCAAAGTATTTTGTGATTGAATACAAACAAAATGCATTCAATTGAAGCAAATTCTTAGATGAAGAAGTAAGATGAAGATGAGATGAAGTAAGGCTTCAATGACAGTATCTAATGAAGGTGGGCTGGAATTAAAAACCTGGCGGCATGAGGACCGCCTGGACAAGGACTGGGAACAGGACAGGGACTCCTCCTGCCCTGAGAGACACAGCACCTGCTCCCACAGTGCTGGAGTTTGCAGCACCGAAAGGAGAGGTCCAGACTAGAGGACAGTTCTGGGGGGTTATTGCACTCTGTGGTTTCACGTAGGGCAATTTTAAGTGGCTGAATTATCAATAACATTCTCACTTATCCACAACACCGGCCGGCCTCCTTTCATGACATTCCTGTGGGCATTCCTACTCCTGCTCCCGACTCTGCCCATGCTGGCCCTGGGCGCCTCTGTATGGCTCCCCCTCTCCCACCCCCACCAGACCCCCGTGCTGTGCTGTGGGCTCCTCTGTGCCCAGTCCCAGGCCCTGGCGCGCAGTGGCGAAGGACAGAGTGGAAGCCAAGCAGGATAACCCTGGTTCTGCGAGCAGGCTCGAACAAAACAGAAAGGGTGCTGCGAAAGTGGCTTTCATCAGCACGTCGTTCTAGCATCACTGATGCTTTTCCCAGCCAATGCATTCAGAGATTCGTACCACACCGTTCTGTTAAATCCTGTTACAGCCATGAGACAGGAGTGTCGTATTTATTTTGTATTTTACTGTATACATTTTACATCTGTTTGTGTTCAGATCTGCATCTTACTGAGACTTCTTCATTGTTTTGGCTGAATTCTGTAGCTTTGTAAAACATTTACAGAAACCTCAATAGCAATTTGAAGACTCACTAATTTGCAATGAAAATGAGATCGCATTAGGTACAGTCTCAGTGGTATTTCACATTCCTTCAGAATACATACTGTATGTGAGAAAAACATTAAAAAGTAGTTTTATACACAAATTAAACTCCACAAACATTGCTAGTAAAAGTTCCTCATTATAATGTTTTTATTTCTGCTTATCACAGGCTGTTCTACTTTGGCGGACATATTCCAGGATATGAAGATATTTTTGCAGACAGACTACAAATTGCTGGCGTTATTTCCTTCTGTGATTATTGTTTATGTGGTTTATGCGAGTATGAGTGTTTTGCGTCACTTTTTCCAAAACAAGCTTTTAGCTTTTAATAAGAGGAGCCCAGTGCTAAGAGGCCATATCTGTGTTGTGGAGGCACAGACTACAGACTTGCCAAAAAGTCAGTAAGTTTTATTGTTGCTTTTCTGACTGCCTTAGAAATTCAGTTACTTCTAAAGTTAGTTCAAAAGTAAAATAGGAATCATGAATACAGATGTGACATATAAATGGGTTGTGTTCCAATAAATGAAGTTGTCAAAACAAGTCTTTAGTACTTCCCACTTATTACAGACATGATGCAGATCTATTACAGAACTATTACAGTATTATTACAGAACTATTACAGTACTATTACAGAACTATTACAGTATTATTACAGAACTATTACAGTATTATTACAGAACTATTACAGTACTATTACAGAACTTGTGGATTTCTTTTCAGAGATGCAGCTTCAGTCGGCGTTTCTTTCTGGTGAAGAGGAGTCTCGTTTACCTCGAGGGAGACGAGAAAGGTTGCATTTCAGGTCCTACAGATTCACCGGTCTTTCTTGGAGGGGGGCTCAAGCAAGGTGATTATTTAATCACTGAGAATGATTTAACATTATTCAAAAAAAAATGCTGACCCAAAAAACGTATGGCTTTCGTTTTGTCCCGACTTCCTTTCAAGGAGATGGTGAATGATCATGTTTGGGAAAGACAAACTTGTCCATGTTGTGCAGTGATGGCTGTCTGTATGGTTCCTATTTCTGTGATGTAGATCAGATAGTTGTATTATGACCATTTGAAAAATATTGGAGTACAGGGAGAATATTTTGTCTTTTCTTTTATGACCTTCACTTTGATCTATAAAAATAAAACTGAACTTGAGGTTGTGTTTCCAGATCTTTTATACATTAATTTTTTTTACTGAATGACAAGCGTCCAGGTGCTTTCTGACTGCCCGTGTTCCGATTCCAATTCACAGGGAAATGGATACAAAGGGATCGTAAACAACCACACTACAGCATCTGCTTTCCCCCCAGAGCTTTAGGTCCTCATTTAAATACCGTACACTATCAAGAGCCGATGTAAGTGAAGAAAGTGTTCTCATTGATGACTGGTTTCCTGTATATTTAAGAGCTTGCTGCACAAGATTACTTAAAATAAATTTAACAGGCAGGGTCTCATTCATAAATTGTTTTATTACGGGTGATGAAGTGCAAGACGAAGACTAGCAAAAGTATTGGGACTATGTGTGGCGTTTTGTTAAATTGCAAAATGATGCCTAACGTTTAAGCTTAATATTTTATTCAAAGCCTGAGTGCTTGAACTGAAGACTGAAAGTTTGTAGTATACTGTATATCAGTAAAAGCTAAACAGTATACATGTTGATTGCATTCCGACTTGTGAACGTGGTAGAAGCACCTTTGGCAGAATTACAGCCACAAGCCTTTGAGTCTCTACCAACTCAGCAACTTTTGCCGATTCTACCTGCCAGATTTGCTCAGCCTCTCGAGTTCCCAGAGTAGTTCTCAGCGGTTTTCTATTCTTTCCACAGACTCTCAAGAGGATCCAAGTCAAGACTTTGTGTCACTCAAGGGCCTTCCCTTTCTTATTCTTAAGCCACTTCAAAGCAGCATTGGCCTTGTGCTTTGGGTCATTGTCCTGCTAAAAGATGCATTTTTGTCCCAGTTTTATTGATGAGACGAGCCTTGATACATTTTGCAGTCCATGCGGGTGAAAAACAGAACTATCACTTGATTTACTTGACAGTAGGGATGGGGTTGACTGAGTGATGCACTATGCTGGTTTTGTGATAGATGTAACACTTTGCACTTAGACCAAAACATTTCAATTATGTCTTATATTACCACAAAATATTTTGACACATGTTGGCAGCATCACTGAAATCAGCTTTTTACTGTCACACAGGCCAGCTGTGTGGAGTGACTGGAATAGTGTTGACTCATGCACATTTTCTCTCTGTAACTCTTTCGGCATTGTTCTCGGTAGCATCCCTAACCAGTTTCCTCAATGTCTGGATGATCTAGGCTGTATCTCGCTTCAACCGTGAGGCCCCTTGGTGTTTATGGTTGAATCTTTGGTTTAAATTCACGTCCAACTGAGCGACCTTACAGTTTTTATTCAGAAATAACGTGTAGTGCAATTATTATATACAGAAACCTCTCAAGTAATTATGTCTTGTTAAAGTAATTCTGAGCACCTAAATAATATACAACAAATGGTTTGAATACTTCTGACTTTTTTTTTCCTCTTTCCTTTCTTTGAATGAAGTGTTATGACTTCCGGCTCTAAAGCAACAAAGTGTGAAAACTGTTCAAGGGTTTCAATACACTTGCAAGGCACAGTAGGTCTGCAATGTGGTTAACACTGTTACGTTGCAACCTATGTGAAACTTCACGTGCCTTAACAGATCATCTATCCAATTACAATTAACACTCAAGCACAAACTCGATTCTGTCCTCCCTTCAATAGAACACAACAGTACATCGGGCACACTAAGACTCAACAAATCATTTAATAACTAATCTCACTTCACTTATCACACTTTATATACAGTATGTTTATGATTGGTATTGCCTTCTCTCACTATGTGATAGATTATGTAGTTAACTGCTAAATAATCACCACTAAAACAGTGAATTCACTAAAGATACAGTTAAAGCTGTGAAATAATGCACTTTCATCTGTTGTCTTAATTTGGTCTTGAAAGCTTCAACAATGTGCATCTATATATACATTTTTTCCAGCCATCTAAAATCTTGCCTTAAGATAAAATCAGAATATTATCTATGTATTGTCTTGGATTGAATTAACAGTATAACAATGACAGGTTTAAATATTGTCCATTCCTGATCTTCAGCACAAGAGACGTCCACACTTACGCACAGGTATATGCAAGTACTGTTCACGGTTTTAGAAACACGGCAGTCCATCTGAAGGTGGGTGTTGTTCGTAGTACAGCAGTAGGAACATAGGGATCAGAGTGAGGATTATAGTCTACTTTCCCCCTGTGAATACTGCTTATAGGTCGCTGCAAGAATTAGAATAGAACTGTGGTCAAGCATCTTGACGTGATGTGATAGGCAGCACACTTGTCCACCCCAGCTGTATCTGCTTCCAAGTGAAAGGAGGACACATAACATCGCTTAGACTCCCAGACCGCTTTCCCTTCAATGCCTGCAGGTTGACGTAGGAGGAAACAGCCATGTGCTTCTGGGCAAAAAGATATCCGTGAATCTAGGAGTTATAGCGAAGACGAATGAGCTTTACTAATGTTTATCATCGAACACCGTGATAAAGCCTCCTACAACCTTCACCCTAGAAAGTGGGGGCTCTGTGATACAGTGGTTTGCTCTGAAGAAAAGGAAAGGCCCAACATCAACAAAGGGACTATTGAGCGCAACGGCTCTGCAGGAAAAATCGTTCTGTTGCACTGACGTTTTGTGGGTTGCCCAGTTCAATGGGCAAACAACACCCTGCATGTGAGAATTAGTTACAATTTTCCTCATCTGAAAGAGGCTTTTATTCTCCCTCATCATGGCTTGGCATGCCTGCTCTTGAGCAAAAGGGAGAGGGGTGTTCACACTAGTTATGCCTGACCACAACATCCAAGCCTGCCGCTCAGAGAAAAGTCAGATGCTCCCTGTTTTACGCACCTCATCTGCACATATTACTTCTCTATTTTCCTGAGGAGCACTATAAAAGCACAACCATGAGCAGCCCTAGCTCTGCTGAAGACGCTGTAGCCCCACTGTGGCAGCTGGGTTTGCAGAGTTACAGAGATAGTGTTTTCAGGTAAGAGGGTTTCCTTAAGACACTGTGTAAATATCTGTGTAACTAACTTGGCTACATGAAAATGTCCTTATATTTTTATAAACACTGCTAGAGCTGACTGTACCTTTTTATTTTTCATTAACATTTGTGATTAACTGTATTGCTATTACTGTTTTTTTTTCTGTTGTATTAAATGAACCATGTGCTACCATATTACATTGATACATATACAGTACGCACATACTGTATATACTGTAGGTCCCAGTCCTGTTTCTGGAGGACCACACATCTCCTGGTTTTCATTCCATCTCATCTTAATTCCTTAATTGAAGCCTTAATTGAAATATGGTAACAAGCTGTCTGACTGGAACATTTGCATGCTTTTTTTTCTACTCAATGTTTGGATTTTTATGTTAATTACGAGATGCAGTATTTAAAACTGCAACTTCTGGCATGTTTAAATATTAGAAGTCAGACAGTCCTAATCAATCCTATTAGTGAAGTCAATTAAAGCTTCAGTTGTGTAACTGAGCTGGGACCGGAACCCTGCAGACACAGTGGCGCTCAGGAGTGAACTGTGACTCTCCAATACAAGCTGTGAACAGAAAAGACCTTTGTTGTATTTAAAGTCTTCCCAGAGTGAAAGTGAAAATAAGGGTCAGGTTGTTTTCTACCATCCAATTTTAGACCTGAGTTTATTTCCCTTTCTTTTAGGTCTCTTTTTATCAAGTATGAGTAACAGGAAAATCTGATTTTGATGTAGATTAACACCCCCAGAGGAGGCTTTTCTATACACTGTCCAGAACAAAGTTATTAGACACAAAGGCCAAACAGAGCTCACCAAATATAACACTTAATTAGATATTAAACAGGATTTAGTTTGTTAAGCACCTCTAAGCTATTGTTTACCTGTTTTTGGCAAAAGTGAAGAGCTGGGAGTAAACATTTAACCCAAGTAACTGACAGACTGGAACAGTATGAGTACAGTACTGAATACTGTATGAGACACAGGGAGCAATCTCATCGTGAGCCTGTCAAGAAGAAAGTGGCTTCAGAAACGAACAAGAAACTCGGGTTTCAAATCTGGAGACACTGCTTCTATAATCAGTTGTATCCATGGCAATGTTTGAGGTCTGCTTTCATTGTTTTATAGGATTTAATAGTCTTTGGAGCAACAAGGTGTGAGACAAAAGTTCTGAAGTCCACAGCCCAGGTCCTGGGAGAGGAGTGCTTGAGTTGGCTTCAGCCAAGTTCTTAATCACAAGCTAATTAAGTTTTTGCTTAGGGCACATTTTCAAATTTACTTTCAGCTACTAAAATTCAAATGGGATTTATGATTCTTATTCACCCTCTACGAATATATGAAATTCAGACATCCCGTCATTTCGACGTGCTGCCTGAAATGTAATCGATCGTTCCTCTGTAGCTGGAAAAACACATTTCTTGTTGCGGGAATGTCCCGGCAGACTGTCACCCATATGGATGGAAAGATCCTGTGATCCAGGTCTAAGATTTGATTTCACTGTGTTTCCTGGGTGTCTAAAAGGTCCTGGCGATGCACTGAATTGCCTTCCGCTTAAGTTTGGTCTTTTTTTTGTTTTAGAGGAATGATGTCCCAGAGCTGGTCTTCCGACGCCAGGCTGGATGGGAAGATGGCCATCGTCACGGGTGCCAACTCCGGCATTGGGAAGGAAACGGCAAGAGACCTGGCCAGGAGGGGTGGGTGTCACGTCATGTCAGGGGCTGTGACACAGCACTCGATCGTCTCCATGGTTTCTAACCCACATGTGTGGGGTACATACACTCCTAATTTGCAATTTCGTACTCTTAGGATTAAAATCAGCTCGTCACTAAACTTAGAACGCAGCGCTATTGGCATTCGGCTTCTGGGAAGATTGGCGCTGGTGTGAGTGTCTGAGTGTCTGTGTGTGTTTGAGCTCTGTGACGGACTGGCGTCCTGTCCGGGCTGCATCCTGCCTCGCACCCGATCCTTCCCAGGACAGGCTCCGGCTCTTCCGCAATCCTGAATCGGAAAGTTAGCAGTTAGGAAATGGATGGGCCGTATTTACATCCGGGTGTTCTTCGAAACCTAGCTCTTCGATCCTCCCCTCGCTTTCCCCTCCACGGTCAGAAAGGAGGGGGATGGCAGTCTGACAGATCTCATGAGAGACACTCACATTTTCACTTCTCGTGATGCTTATCGAGATCTTTCGTTTTCACCCACGTCTCCATGGGGTTAGTGGTGGCACAGAGCTTTTAGTCTCACTAGAGTAAAGTATGGATTGGAAAGGGCGGAACAATAGGACTCCTTTGCTCTACACTCACTTATTCAGATCCTATATAGTGCTTGAAAACAGTGCTATCTGGAATGGGGACCTGCCTGTAGCAGTAGACCAACAATTTTCATAAGCTCTGTGGAATCATCTGAAACCAGCACCTAAGAACGCTGACCATGAGTTCATCTATTTCAACATTATCTACCAAAGCTGTCTGACTTACTTTGAGACGTGTCTCAAAGAGTCTTTCTGACACCCCATGTGTGTCCTGTGACCCCAAGAGAGAGATGGGCTCCCCTGCTTCATATTATTTGAGAGTATTAGTGTGACCAGTGCAGTAACCCCAGTGCCCAGTGCCAGGCTTCAGACCCGAGCGCTGGCAAGCTTCCTTCACACCAGCAACAAGACCGGCTCCCCCGTCTGAGTTTTGCACTGTCTTGATTTCAGAGGGAGTGACATCACTCCTGTAGTAGGACATGGATTTTAGGGGAGAATCACACAAATGCAAATTTAATCTGCGCAGTTCTGCGCAGTAAATGTTCCTGGCGTTGGCTTGCGATATCGGAACTGAACTTATGTGACCTTTTCTCTGGGTAAATTCTTGTGACACAGAGATCTGTTGTTTTGCCCAGAGAGCCTCAGCTCTTTGAGGCTGACAGATCAGGGAGCAGACAATCCCAGTTAACTCCAGCCTTACTGCCTCCATTATGAATTTCAAACGCACTGATTCGCTTGTAGAAAAGAAACCATCAATCAAAAGAAATCTAGGAGAATATTTTCACATACTTGTCCTGTGTCTTGGAACACAATGGCACTTCAGATTATTTTTTATTGTTTTTGGACTGTTTTTCGACAATTAACCTTCCTTAGTAAAAGTTCCTTCCCTTATAAACCAGGAGTAATGATACACCATACAGCATTTTAACAGGAACGATTAAATTACTGCGACCTTTAACCCAGATTTCCATTTCCTGTTCTTCACAGGAGCACGGGTTATCTTGGCGTGCAGAGACATGGACAAAGCTAAAGTCGCAGCCAATGAGATCATTAAGGACACTGGGAGCAACAGTGTCATTCCTTGCAGACTGGACCTCTCGGACACCAAGTCCATATGTGAATTTGCAGAGCAAATCTATAACTGTAAGTGCTGAACATCAGCGTGTATATTTTACTGTTAAGTCTTAGATGTCCGCTATTTGTAATTTAGACAATTAAAACGGAAATATGGCAGATCAGTACGGGACATGTATTAGCAAGTTATAAACATCAGGCTGCAACAGTAACTACGTCACAGTGATTATTGACAAGGATTTTAAAGCAGGGGAATTATTTGTAATGCATGAGGCAATTTATTCAGTCCCCACTTAAAGGCATTATAAATCATATTTATGGAACAGTAAATGCACAAATAGCAGTAATCAAAACAGGAGATGTTTTGTGACTGACCAATGGTAATAGAAATGGTGGTCCTGAAACTAGAGCAGTCTTGATGACCGTGTGTGTTCAAATTCCTGTTTTTTTTCTGTTCTCTGTCAGCGGAGAAGTCGCTACACTTTTTGATTAACAATGCAGGAGTCGCCATGTGCCCATATGCAACTACAACAGATGGTTATGAAATGCAATTTGGAGTCAATCACTTAGGTATGTACAGTATATTTAAATTAGAGTAATTCAAACAGCTAAGGACTGTTTCCAGTGGCTTCACAGACCTTGATTAGCACTAATTTTGGACCACGTTATTATTTAGGTTAAATACTGTATGTCTAGGGCTATAGCAAAATCTTTGCTTATGAAACTCACCCTTTATGTTTGCTGCTGTTTCTACTTTGAAGAACCTATATGTCTGATCTCTAGTTCTGATGTACCCATGAGATCAGGCTTCTGCGCTCCAGATGGGTGAATATCATAACACCTTCTCTCAGAATCAGTTCATCCTGCATTATTAATGTCTTGATCTGATGGCCTACCTTAGAATGAATATAATTAATCACAGCGTTTGAAAGACATTTATGTTCTGTTATGTGTTGATTCATTTCCTGGATTGCGGTGTTATAACCCTGGAGCTTGGGCCACTTATTCCAGGTGAAGGGGAAGCTCTGAGAAGCTTTACAGTTAGCCACAGTAGATGGGGCTGTGGCAGTGAGTACATCTATTTTAGTTATTGAAATATTCTTTATTTCGGTAAAAGCAGTGAAGAGCTTCTTAGACAATGACGGGTACTGAAAGGACTCTTGAGCATGCTGTCACGGGAGCCGGTCCTGACTCCCGTGAAGTGCGTTGTTAAAGACCCTATGAGGGACGGTAGAATCCGGAAGTGTCTGGAGAAGGACATCAGGGAAGACACGAAGAGGAATGGACGGGATGGCAGACGGGGGCGATAAAGACAGTTGGGGGACAGCAGGCGAACGAGTCCGAAAGGAGGTCCAAAGGGGCGAATCAGGGTGCTGTCCAAGGTCCAGGTGCTGGGAGATCCATCAGAGACAAAGACAGGGATCAGGGAACTAGGAATACGAAAGCTTAAAACCATAACGGGACTAGGCGCTCCGAGCCCTGGACTCAGAAGGTCAGGACGTCTGGGGAAGAGGCCTCGACCTCGGACTGCTCCTGAGCCCGGAGGAGAGGCGGGCCTTCAGACGTCCGTCTTCCAAAGCTGAGCCCAGAACTACGGAGATGCCGGGCTTAAATAGGGAAACAGGGATAGGAAACAGCTGGGGGAAATAAGGCTGGGGAACACACAGAAAAGGTAGGAGCACCCTCTAGAGTAGGGATGGCGATCATGACACATGCAGGGAAGTTTATTTTGAAAGCAAGCCGCTCATTCCTTAAAGGTCACCCTTAAAGATGGTCACTAAATTGAACCGGACAGTTCCTTCATGGCAGTCCAAAGTCGGCCATTCAAAACAGAAGAGGATCTCAGGGGGCAGGAGGACTGTTTTTTCTTGTAATGCAAAACTCTTTCTCTGGGAGCTGATGCTTGCAATCTTTTTTGTAGGGCACTTTTTCCTCACCTATTTACTGCTTGACCTCTTAAAGCAGTCTGCTCCGTCCAGAGTCATCAATGTGTCCTCGATCACGCACTCCATGGGGCGGATTCAGTTTGACGACGTGAACAGCGAGAGGAGTTACCACCCGGTCAAGGCCTACGTGCAGAGCAAGCTGGCCAACGTCCTGTTCACTCGGGAGCTGGCCAGCAGGCTGCAAGGTGAGAGCCGTCACTTCTAATCGATTATTTCCCGAGCCCCTCCCCCTCCAAGGAGGTGTGCCCACTCCTGTCACAGAGGCTGAATTGTGTGATGTTTCATTATTCTCTTCAGGGGAAGGAGAGCAAAAATACACTGAGGTCTGAAAAGCTGTGATAAGGTCACAAGCACCTAGAGTGCTTTACAGTCGATCTCTGTTACACGTCAGAGTTAAGGACTAGAATGTTGTGACGTGTGACGAAACAACATATAAAGGGGAATAAAACAATGGAAATATGGGGGTTGCATTTGTGACTTAGAGCAGGTGGGTTTTCCCACAAGAATTAATGGAATAGAGTCAGGTCAGGGAGCACAAATTAGAAAGAATATGTGTTTAACTTCTATCTAAGCAAGCATTGTACAGAGGAACAAGTAATAGGTTTATTCCATGCTGAAAAGAGAAGAAAGAAAGCACAACGTTTCGGCCGTGGAGCCTTCTTCAGGTGTGTCATTGTACAGAGCGTCCAGGTTATGTTCCTAAATAATGCCACTTACAGCAAAATGACTTAAGGGAATTAATATTCTTAAGGAATAATGTAATCAGTTTGAGATGCATCCTCAACAGAAATTTCATACATGGGTATATACATTTGACATACCTATATTCCACTAAACGCAATGAACAGAAGTAGATAAATAGTGTCACCAGCAACTGGTTTTCGCAGGAACCAACAAAGTCATTTGCTGCTGCAGGGTAGATTTTTTTTGTCTGCAACCTGTCAATGCATTGACAGTTATCAATCAAATCTTCAGCTACTTGGTTGGATCAACAAGTTATTGCATAGTGGCAAGAACCTAACTTTAATGTCGGGGCATAACAATTCATAATTTAACTCGCGTGTAAAAGAATTGCCTAGAAGGAGTCCTTTCAGCTTCTTCAAAGCTGTAATTCTCTAATAAATCTTAGTCATGATAATCCCATCAGTAGCCTGTGAATCTCTCTGAATTCAATAGAGTCTGCGACTTCACACATACAGTATGGTCACGGTCTCATTTTGTACGACAGCAGAGTCGATTCCAGAAACTCTATGAACTGTCCCAGCACTTGGCGGTGGTAGGAGATTTCTGCCTTCATTGGCTTTGCACATGTTCATCTGCGCACATGGAGAGCTGAGAATCGAGCATGTGATAGTGGGTTACATCTTGAACCCGATGGCACAGCTGTGCTTCCAGAGTCAGTTGAGTCTCATACAGTCGAGTTAAAAAAGATCTAAAAAAATATAAAAATAGATTTATTACCATTAAGAATTAATTGGTTCAGGAATCAAACAGGAATGCATGTATTTTTTGCCATAATTTCAAGCAAAGTGTTGTGGGTGCCTAGAACAAGTTGGAGTAAATAGTGATATCCTGGCTTCTTTCAAGAAATGGCTGAATTTGATAAGTGTATTAATTTACTCCTAACTACCAAATAATATGTAAATATTAATATGTATTGTAAAAAACAATACCTTTATTCATAAGAATCCTTAATCCTTTGGCAACAGTACACGTGAGGCCATGTTGATAATGCAGCTGCTGTCCAGTATGTGATTTATCAGGGCTTGTCAGACATACAGTACCAGTCACAGGACATGTATCTGATCTGATCTGAAGCTACTAGAAGCCACTTACTGTCCAGGTTCTGGCTTCAGTAGGGAATTTTATGACCATTTGAATAAATGGATTCTACCTATCCCAAACATTTTTCTGTTCATAATGTATCTTGTGGTCTGATGGACCTCTCATCCAGTCCAAATCAGCTGATTCTCACTTGTGAGAATCTTGACACTTTCTGTAAAAAGGTATTTTTCGATATCGGTGTAGAATTGTATTTCTGTGCCCTGGAGAGACACTGGTTAAAGAATGTATGTGACATTTCAGAGCACCTGGAAGGTGAGGACAGATGTGTGTTCCCTGGAAATGGCCTTTTTTGTAGCAAATTAAAACTTTTTTCAAATGTCAAACCTTTGCTGAACTGTGCTGTGGCTTCACATAACCCAAGAGCTCATAGCTTTCTGCATCACTCTGCTTTCAGGCACTGGGGTGACAGCGTACGCTGTTGATCCTGGGATAGTTTACACGGATGCTATCCGACACATGAAAACCTTTTTCCAGGTTTTTATAAAAGCATTTAGCTTCCTCATCAAAACACCAGCACAAGGAGCCTACACTACCCTGTATTGTGTTTTAACTCCGGATCTGGAGTCAGGAGGCTATTACAGGTGAGATCACACCAATAACATAATAAAGAAATGTTTTTATGAGACACATAAATGGTAAATGGTATCAGTTCAAAATACTATATATTGATGCAGGTTAATATAAATCCCTCTATTTGGGGTGCACAGTACTTATTATACAGTAATAGTTTCAGACCAGCAGTACTAGTTAGAAATAATTTGCTTTACGCCTTCTTAATGAAGGAATCAATATGTAAAAGATATGGGAAATGAGAGATGAACTTTTAATATGTTAATCAAGGAATGCTCTTATATGCACTTGAATAATACTTGAAAATGAAAATAAAATATTCTAGATATTGCAAGATAGACCTACATAAATGGCTTGTAGAGAGATATTTAGGAGATGGAAAATACAGTTTGTTTACGTGATATGCTGTATGTCCAGAATAACTCCTGTCTTTCGTGTCTGGGTTAGGAACTGTGCCCCAGCTATCTGCTCCAGAGCTGCCTGTGATGACCAGACCGCTAACAAGCTGTGGGGCATCAGCTGCTGTCTGTTGGGAATAAGGTGGAAATAAGGCAGATCACTGTCAGGGCAGCTGCCAAAGAACCCCTGAAGTGCTCTTCATGCGCGCCCCATATTTCTTCACTAGAGCCCTGACGGGCGTTACAAATGTTTTTAGTTTCTGATGAGAATGAATGGCTGCCAACAGCCAATATTTGTCTTAGTAAAAGAAGACTGTAAATGCATGATAATGTTTCCTTTCTGTGCACCAGTATGGCGTGAAGTGTTTTGTGCCCACTGTCTTTGGAAATAAATTTTGCTGAAGAAACCCACACACCCGTGGGCTGTGATGAAATGTGTCAGAACACGAAACGAAGTGTACGCTGCTACATGAAAAAATACAGAATACCAGCGGAAAAACAGAATCGATCAGTAACTCCATGCTGTGGTGTAATGCTCTATCCACCTAACTGTACCTGCTGTAGAAAGACACATTTATAAAGACAAGACAAATATTTATAACCCTTTGACCAGGAAGACACCTGAATGAGTCACAATATTTAAGGAGTTAGGCTGATGGACCTGTTTTTCCACAGTGTATGATTATATTGTTTATATTCTTCTACCTACAGTATATACAGAGAAGTTTAACAGAAAAGGTCCTGTTTTTCCTGTAGTAGAAGAGATGTATTAAACGATCATATGAATATAACTCTTCCCCTGCCAAAAGCATCTGGAGCTGTACAGTGTAGGAATGAATTTGTGTCTAGGTAACTCAGAGTCATTGTGTCTCTTTGAAAAACTGGATTTTATTTCTTCTTCTTCCTCACTGCTCCTCTGTGCTGGCTGTGTCACTGTCTTAAGAGCCTAATGAGATGCTGTATCTGCTTTAGAAAAGTGAACACTGATTAGTGTGAAAGGATTTGTCCTGGAATGCCCCCTGCTCCAGCCCAGAGCTATCCACGTGAAGGAGAAACTGTCACACCTGTGCTTGTTATTAAATTGCTTCTTAGGGAGCATTAGCTTTAAAAATCAATCTTGAATTTCTTAAATAATGAACTTATTTCCAATGTGGGCTATTTTGAAAATCGCTGACTTTGCAGCTCTGTAATAAATCCACGTTCATTGCAGCTGAACCAACATGAACAAGTGTTGCACACGTTTTTATCTGACACTTGTCTGGAATCTGCATTCCAATTCCAATACAAGCACAGGGTACAAGAGCAGGGGCTTCAGGACTACAGTACATCCTGTTCCTGGTCACCTACACCAGGGGTGTCAGGCTGTTTCTGCAGGGCCTGGAGTTTGATCTCCTTCAGCTCCTAGTTAGATAGCTGGTCATTAATTCATTAATTGTAAACAACAGTGCCTTTAACAAAGCTAATGTTTTAAGTAATCATCAGTAAAATGCCTATAAAAATACTATGGGCTGAGAAAACAACCAGGCTAATTGTGTATTTGACTTCTCAGGGAAGAACAGAAGTCAAAAGACATTTCAGTGGGTCCTTCGGGAACCTGTGCAGCTCACATAAACAGAAAACACGGGGCTGTGAATAAATATCAATTTAGGGAAGCTGTTGGAAATGATTCCTTAGCTGTTGTAAACACACCTGCTCTCAATGTGCCACACTGCTATCTCCCGGATGAATTTAAATTCCTATTCTCAAACAAGCGGGTATTTTTCGCTCTGCATTTACCGTTAAAATTTTAAGAATCCTGTAAATGGATAAAGCAAAACTGAAATCGACTTACCAGGACAGACCGAAGTCTAAGAATGATTATTCGGTACATCAAACATTATTTTTTACTAAACTTAAAAACATGTCTTTATGGTTCAATAATTCCTCGTATGTCTGGTTGCATTGCATACTATAATAAAACAATAGCTGGCATGAATAATTTCTGCATCTTACTAAAAATGCCCAGTTTCAGTTTACTTCATTAGCTCGGTATTTGAAAACGTACCTGGGTTCTTTTAAGAGAACGCAGGGGGAGCGCTAATGGAATTTGTTGTCGCCGCCTGGTGGCCAGATCGGAACACGCCACGAGCAGACGAGCCTTCGAAGTCCGAGAAGCATGGAGGCGTTTTCCGGATCCACGGCCCCGCTGTAGAGGCTGAACAGGACTGAGCTAAAGCCCTCATCCACCCAGCCCCCCCCCCCACAGGATCACGGAGCAGGCAGAACCTCAACCACAAGCTACATGTGCCCAGGCCAGAACATCAGCCAGCCTGCTGTTTGGCCTTGCATAATTCAATCATGTAGCATTATTAACAGTTTATGACTTTACTTCAGAGACTCATTTCATAACTGCTCAATGCTGTTTCTGTTTCTACTGAAGAGATGAAAGAATCCCACGTGGTGTCTCTCGGTTCGCCTTTTTTAATAAGTATTGCTTGAGCCCCTGGACAGCAGTGACAGACGAGCTGAGAAAAATGCAGTTCTCGACGTGGGGAGTGCAGATAATTAACAGTCTGCAACTGAAGTCCTTCAATGCCTCCTCTATGTGGAAAATGGCTTTTTTGTTTGCTCTTGGAATTATATAACGCGATCAACAAGACACCTCTTGTTGGGCAAAAATAAAGCCCTTTTGTGTGTTGTGTATTCTCTGCTGCTCTGGTGTGTAATTCATTTGGACTCCCAGTTCGGGTTTTGTAGGTCACATCCATCAGTGGTTTGGTCATCAGCAGGGAAAACGGTCACACTTGGACCCTGGACTAGACGTCTGAAATCAGCTGCTACATACGGTCAATCAGGAGACATGTCTGTCTTGAAAATTCATTATAAATGGCACAGCGACTGTAGGGATTAAGAGAATAGATACAGAAACCTAAAATCTGACATGCATCATACAAGTTTATTCCTCAAACGTTATCTTAAAGCACAAAGCTAGCAAAGCAAAGTTATGAAGAGGTCTAACATAATATTTTTAGATGCATCTTAATTGTAGTTCTGCTGTTCATCAGAACAAAAATTATATGACTATGTATTTTGTTTAATTTTTAAAAAGTTTTAAAAAGTGCAGCTTTCAAATCACTACACTAGAGTTTATTACCCTGATTCACAATGTATGAGAAAACCGTTCTGCAGGTATCTACTGTTTTTCTTATAATGACTTATAAGAACTAGGAATAACTTAACTAGGAATAAATATTTCAATAAAGGTGCTACTGAGGTGCTGAAGGGCTGAAATTTATACTGATAAAACATATTTATCACATTAACAGTTTTCTGAGTGTGTGGTTCCTTTCACCTGAAGCACATGCAGCAGGTTGGTGCCAAGAGGGCAGGCGTTTGTATGAAGCTAAGCAGTGAGTGGTGCACATGTTCCTTTGTAAATCAGCAGCTTTCAAAACAACTGCGTTCTTCAGAATGAATACAACTGCAAGGAGGAAAATCAGATCACACTTTGCAATTAACTACACTACATCAATTTACAGAGCTGTCATTGTGCAGTCAGACAGGCCAAATATAGTACTTCAGTGCAATTTTTCCTTGCGAGAATAGTAGTAATATAATAGTTGTTTTCCAAATCACAGTTTTACAGTTATGTTACTGAAACAGCATGCAAAGTATTTATAGAATATATATTTTATTGTAATCAGCAATTTCTTCTTATAATGGAAAAAAAGGTATTTACTCTAGTTAATGTTTATCATACAGCATTATAATAGTGTTCAGTGCTAAATGCTGAGTTTGTAACCAATGTTTAACTCCTGTGCCCCTGCAGATGTTACAGCTTGTCCTTGTCAGTGTGCCACTACAGTAGAAGCTGTTTTCAGGGCCATCTAGTGGAGAAAAGGAACCACTGCCTTCAGTTATCAGAAAACTGTTTCCCAAGTCACCCTGAGCTTATCCCAGAAGCACATGTCACCAGACAGGACTGCTGTATGTGCAGGACAGTCACCAGTCCACTGTGGACTGGAAATACCACTAGTGGTCCACACACCAGGTTTAGAGACACCAATTAACCTGGCCATGTCTTTTGGAAAGGAAAGACTCCCTATGGGAGTGGTTGACACCGTGCATTGTCACTCCCATCTGGAGTGTGGTTCTGTTTATCAGACATTGATAACCTATTAAGAGGTGTTTGTAAATAAGGAAATTGAGGAGTTACTACCTCATGGTGTGTATGCTAAAGCTGGTGGAAGCTGTTTTGAAATTCCTAACACTTATATAGCTCAACTCAAAGTGGAGCATCCAAATTTGATGCTGCAAATTTACAGGTAATGGGGATCCCCTCCACCACCTCTCACCAGAAGGATGGCGCCGTTTTACAGTACAGTGTCCCCATCACTATTCTGGGGCATAAGGACCAACACAGACTGCAGGTCTGGCCCCACTAACACCTCTTCCAGCAGCGACCTTAGCTCAGCTTTCCCAGGAGGAGGTCCTGGTGAGACTCACACCTGCTGAGCCTGAGTGGGTTGCCAGCCGTGTATTGCAGGGCGATATAGCTGCTGGCTTTGTGTTAAAACCCTGTTAAAACCCGTAGTGCAAAAGTCTAGACAAACAAGCGGGTCAGTTAAAGGTATTTGTAAGAACCTGTTTACTTAGATCTCAACCCAAATGAAGCCAATAGATGCAGTAGTTCTCAAGACTGGGGTCTGGAGCTACAGATCTACTGTATACAGTATCTACAATTTACAGTATATATTACTGTAGACATGACACTAGTCTAAATCTCATACTGACAAGAGGTTCAATGTTTTTAATAAAGCACATTAGAAATAATCACAAACGCCGAGGTTGTTACATAAAATTCAAATGCATCCAGTTTTGGAAATTGTGTGAGGAGCACTCTGACACCAGTGGTCATGTCTGCTTAAAAACAGGACCACATTTCAGTAAAGGAAAGAGTTAAGAAAAAGACTTGTTCTGACGCACCATTGCCAAAGTCCGTTGATGATAGGTAGGAAATGACTTTGCAAATTTCTTAGCTCTCTCCGTGTTGTGTGTAGTAAGCTGCTTAGTCAATGCAGATATCTATCACGTGGAAGTGATTAAGTATCTGTCTATAGCTGAAAGATCCTAAATGTCAGCTGGAAAAGACCTTATATAAATCCTTGTTGTAGCTATGTACAATGCTGTACATAAATCTTAGACAATCAGGAATTACAATATGTGTACTGTATGTTGTTTACAAGCTTTTGTTCAATGCCTCCAGTGGTCTGTTCTCCTATTACTGTTTGATAACTTAATGCTATAAATTATTAAAAGTTGTTGTTATGAATACAGCTTAGTTTGGGTGAGAAGAAAAAACAGTATTTTAGCCATCTTTAATTCACAGTGATCAAAATCTCCGAAAGTTTTAAAAGTCAGTTCAAGGGGAATGGGAATGAGAAGCTAATATAAAATATTGTAGTAGCTAATCCCTCACACTCACCAACCAGATATTAATTTAGACTCATTCATTTACTTTGTTCCTTAACAGGATTATTTTATTTTAAAACGGCTAATTTTCCAATTAAAGATCACCAGATAACACTCAAGATGTGAAAGACTCACGCAGCCCCATGTATATGTAAACAGATACAGCTCCACATCTTGCTTTAGCAAAATAGATCAAATCCAGGTGAAGGGACATGATAAAAAAAACAACAGAACAATCTCTCAGTAACTTTATAAGACGAACTTCAATTCACCACGAGTAATAAAAAAAGTCCAACATTTTGCATCGATCCAAAACGAAACATTCTGCAGCTGACAATGTTTGCTTTATTGTTATTTTTAAAACTGGCTATTCATGTTAAATACAGAGAATTCTCTTTGAAAAAAAAAAACACATTTAAAAAATATATATTTTAAAAAATAAATTCCAGATTTATACCTTAAAGCTTCTGACACGTAAGCCTACATATCTTCTCCGCTGTTCAACTCCGATAAAATAGGGAATGCACCTTCCTGTCGGCTTCACTGGGACAACACCACCTGCTGCAGAGTTTCTGACTTGGGCGAGCTGCGAGGCCGTGAAAGGGTTAACCGCGCGGCTCGGACCTGCGACCCGCGCTGAGTTTCGCAAGAGAGGGGAGGGGAGTGGAGTCTGACCGCCCGCCCCCCTCGCCCAGCCTCGCCAGCTCATTGGCCGGCCGCGACGTCACTCGCGGCGACTGCGGCTCCTGGGAGCTGGGAAGGTCCGACTGGAAATTTAGTGTCAAAAAAATACTCGAGGAAAGAGACGAGTTGCTGCCGGTTTTCCTGTTTTTTTAAACGCCTGTCGGGCTTGGACCTGCGGCGGGACTTCGGTGACAGGGGCCCCCTTCAGATGCACAATGCATTCAATAAGGCAAGTCAGTGTCTTATTGGCGCGGGAGCTTAATATTTATTCGTTACGGACGGAGTTGTTCATTCCCAGCGATGTGCCATGGAAACTATTTCAGAAACGTGACGGTTTTGGGGGGGAAGAGACCTCGTTAAGTACTGAAGTCACCACGCAAAATAAAATAAAAACACTAAAGTCAATAGGACGCCAGGCGTGGTTGTGCCGGATATGGTTTTCGTTCGTTAGTGCTCGGTCAACATACTATTTCTATAACTGAGCGACAATGTGTAATACTGCTTTTGTGCATAAGATACATCTGATGCTACTGTAATAATTCTAGTTTACAGTTAAAAAGGATCGCGAAGCAAAAGGTGGGTTCTGCGGTCCAGTGCAACACAGAGCAACCGGCAACGATGAAAATCGTATTAAACCAGTACAAGTTATGGACATTTAATTCTACCTTAGCAACTGAATACGGATCGACTTGACTTATGGGTTTGTGTTCTACAAAAATGTATTATATTTTTAGAAGCTGTGTTTTGCAGTCGCGTTTGTTGTCCTGACATGACATTTACCGTTCTCCCCTTTTGCAAAAGCAACGATTATTGATTAAGATGACCCAATCTATCCATTCATTGTCTGTGCACAAGTTACGCTTTCTGGCTCTGAAACCCCCTGCAATACACGGTAGTAGACGTCACACGTTTGTTTTTTCTCCACCCGAGGATTGTTCAGAATGTGATCGATCGTGGCGTCTCGTCATCCGCTTTCGTTTAAGGGACACCTTTCACTTTCTAGGAACTTCTTCTGTGGTCCGTGGTCGTCCACTGTGAGGCTGGAGGGGAAGACGGTGCTCATCACCGGGGCCAACACTGGAATCGGCAAGGAGACCGCGAGGGACCTGGCTAGGAGAGGTATCATGCTTGACTTTATTCCTCTGTGGATTCCTGTCCCCTGGGTTAGCGCAGCCTGGCCCAGAACTGTGCCCCCTGCTGCCGGGGCCTCAGATTCTGAAAGGCACTGCTCAAGAACCTCCAGCTTTGTGCACTTAGAAAAACCAGAAAACAGCACAAATGCTATCTCTTCTGCTTTACCCGAAAAACGCCTCTTATACTGTCGATCTACTGTGTAGCAAGCTCTGTGACTGGCCAGTGTCTTCCAGTTCTCCAGTCCTCTGGATAATGCAGCTCAACCATTCACAGCACAGAACACCTATCTCGATGTTCCTATATCTAGATGGGAACGTAACATTGCTTAGACAAAGGTCCATGTTCTCCGAAGAGCGGTGCATTTCCAAAGTACACACAGTTCAGGGTACTTTGGATAATCTGGAGATGAAAATAGCATTGGATATTTTACAGCTGCAAGATAATCGTGCCATGCTCTAGAGAATACAGTGCAATTGAAAACAAGTTTTTTTGGTATTTGTCTGTATGAAGAAGCCGGCAATAATCTGTAGAGAACAAATGTGCTGCCTGGGCTTCCTCCCACTGTGAATCTACTCGATGTGTCAGTGACAGCTCTAAGTGTGAGATTAAAGTGCTTGGTGAAGGATTGCTGGTCAGTGAAAGAGCTAAATTACCATGTGTTGGTCTTCATTCTATTACAAATTTAGATCCTTCAACAGGGTTTTATAACACGTTAAAACGACTTCAATGTGGTTAACAACTTTCATTTGTTATTTCTTTTTAGGTTTCCGGTGTTTTTTTTTGTCATGAGCGGGTTGCCTTAGGAGTAGGGAGGGATGAGAGGGGAAGCCAGGAGGGTCCGTTTCATTCTCGTTTTAATTTTGTTGGAAAAAATACATTAAAAATATAAAAACATAGATTGCTCAAAACCTTATGGTGTGGTATATTGCTGTGGAGGAATCAAAACATTGCTTCATTTCTAAGCATAACATCATCATAAGACTGGGGTTGCGTAACTCTTGTACGGAAGCGCATTGCTGCCACCAAGGAAAAAAAAATTCGCCTCCCTTATCTCGTAATTTCGAGACAAGTATCCTTGGTGGCAGCAATGCGCTTCCGTACCCTTGCATAGTAGCGCACAGCTAAGTAAAATATAATGACAAAGCCAAACTCTATTTCCAGAAAGTGGAAATATGAGGAAGTGTAGGTATAGACGTCAGGATCAAAACCGAAAACTCGAGTGAAAATCGACTGTTGTCAGAAATCCATGACCTTTAACAACTGGGTAATACAATTCCCCACAGAGAACTACATATCTGTTTGCACTTTTATTTAAAAAAGTGCTGTTGACCATTGCTTCTTGGATTTTATGTTGTAAATAAAGATAAGTCCTTCTAGCACCAAAAAGACACTTTTATTTCCGCTTTGTTTACTCCAGTGGAAAAGAAATAAATACCTGAAAAGTAATTCTGAGCATCAGCTAAATCGTGAAGCTTGACTGTCCATCATAGTGTCCCCCCAGCCTATTGTGATTCAGCAGTCACAGAGGAAGACGATTGTTTAACTGTATACTGTATGTCATAGACCAGACAAGTCACCCTGATTTAAATGAGTAAAAATCTTTTTAAAGAAGGGCCTTGAGTCTCTACAATTAAAAAAGTTATATGATACACTATGTTTTTCAGTTGTAGCTGTTTTCATGCAGGCTTCTCGTCAGACCCAGTCTGGGGCACAGAAAATATTGATGAGTTTTGGCTCTGGGAATCTCAGCAGGTACTACTGCTGCTTCTCGGTTCAAAGTCCAGGGTTCAGGTGGCTCTCCGTAAAAATCAGTGCACAGCTTGCACTGCTGAATGACCTGGCAAAATCCCGTTCTCTGAGGCACATCCTGGAGATCCACATGGTCCACTGACTGAAGAAAATAAAACGCATGTGATACAGAAAGTTCACGTTACCTGGTTTAAAAAATGGGAAAGTTACTGATTTAAAGACAAATAAAAAGGGGGTACTAGGGGTTACTGGCTCTTTTCATTTCACGTGTCAGCAATTCAGGACTAGAAGCCACTAGGAACCTCTGTACCACCATCACCCCTGCTTCAGTCTTGAGTCAAACACATTAATGTTACGGTAAATTCAAAGTCATTTGAGACATGCCTTTGGATCACAGTCTTTGAAGTTGCTCCTTTCCCTGTTGGCTGTATCGTGGTCTGCCATGTGTGACAGGTCCCTGTAACCTGTCAGAGAGGTGTGGAGGACCTACCTGTCTGCACCTGAGTCCCCGTCACAGGGTACCCGCTGTAACCCGTAATAAAGCCGATGGTTGAAACCGGAGCTGAGGCTGGGCTGACCCTGGTGTAAAGACCTTGAGTTAAACTAGTTTCATCCATAACCTGCTTTTGCCTCACTGGATGCGCCTACAAACCTACTTTTAAAAGCTGGGAGAGCAGTGTTATTCTTCACCCTTGTAAAGGTCAGCCTTCAGGGAGGGCTAACCCTGTTTCAGGCGTTTTAAAACCCACAGCAGTGCCCTTGGACCCTATGGGAGATGTTCGTCCTTTCCGTTAACTAACCTCAAGACTAGCCCATCCGACTAGTCATCAAGAGCCTCAGCAGCCCCTAGTCCTCCGTCCTTGCAGAGACGGGTCTCTCAGCTGGACACCCGCCCACTTGCTCACGTTCTCCTCCTCGCCAGGGGCCAGGGTCATCATGGCCTGCAGGGACCTGGAGAAAGCCGAAGGTGCACAGAAGGAAATTATCCAGGACTCTGGAAACCAGGAAGTCGTCGTGAAGAAGCTGGATCTGTCCGACACCAAGTCGATCAGAGAGTTTGCTGAGCAGGTTAACAAGGGTAAGTCTTCCGCAGCACAAATGATTGATATGATTTTACTAGGCAGTGGTTTTGAAGGAACGTAGTGAACTGAAGTGGGGCCCATTGGAGGTACCCTCTCGAATGAGCTCTGAGGCCCAGATGTCATGGGTTCGAGTCTGGGTAGTATATTGTCACTAATGACCCAGTCAGGGTGGTTGTTGGTGGGCCAGTGCTGAGAGCGCCCAGGACTCTCCTGTGAGTTCCAGGGGGTGTCCTGGCTTGAGGTGATGTGAACGAGAGAGAAGGTACTGGAGTCATCACCCTCAAAAGGAATCTTGAACAATGTTCTCAGCTGGGACATTGGGAGCTCTTTCCCTGAGCTGTAGTGCTGGTGCAGTGTCCTTAAGGCACAGGCACGACTGGGTGTCTTTACACATCTCTCTTACACGTGCGAGCTCCTGTTTTCTACCACATGTTGTGACAGCTTTTCCCTAATGTGATACTCGTGCAGTTCTGGGTTTTGTAGAGGTGTCTCACAATGCTGTAATGTCCTAGTCAGACGAGTAAATCCACATTCAAAGCTAATAATTAGAGATGGAAATGCATGGTGCCTGCAACACAGCATTCCAGATACAATTTCAGAAGGAAGAAAAACCCAAGAGGGGAATCTCAGAAAATGTAATGACAACAAGCAGCAGTGAAAAAATCTACCCTTGGTGAAAAGTAATTCTAACTTTAATATTTAAGAGTTTTGCATAGTATTCATTTCCCTCCATTTCAGAACAAATGCTTTATTTTCATTTTGTTCCACAACGAGATCCTTATTAACGTCGGGACACTGTTTAGTAGTTTGGCGCTGTACTGCAGGTGATGTCTGGGGGACTGATGCCTGTGATGGGCCAGGGGGAACTCGTGTCCTCTCTAGTAGGCTGAACGCCACAGAAATCAGGATGTCTGGTGCAGTGAGCCTCCTTGATTCAGATTAGGGAATTTCCCTGGCACTGTTGTGTACTGTGTATAATGTAAATCACTTATTCCTGCTCTAGAGGTTTTGAGACAAAAGGCAAAGTGCTCAGGAAATGCAACCAATGAAGCAAGATCACGTGACAATATTGTAGTCTAATAAAACTGTCTGTTCCCATGGGTGTTTCAAGAAACGACATGTGTCAATAGGCTTTTCTTTATTTCAGAGGAGAAGCAAGTCAACATACTTATTAACAACGCGGGGATCATGATGTGCCCTTACTCCAAGACAGCTGATGGCTTTGAAATGCAGTTTGGGGTCAATCATTTGGGTAAGAGCGCCTGACATGTACAGTAGAATAAGGATATGGAATCTCTTCAGTTCCTCAAAGTTATTGTTCATGCTGTATAGAATTAGCCATTTATAATGTAATATACATAAGAAAGGTTTTTAAGGGTCTTGATCTCAATAACAGCGTGGGTTCCTTTGAGGTTTGGGGGTATTTGATAACGTATGTCTTAATCTTTAGCCTCATGTACCTGTAAGCCTGGTACTTCAATCACTTTACTCTGGTAGAATTCCCAGCTGTGTACACACAAGCCACTTTGCACCAAAGCATCAGTCAAAGTCGTAATAACATTCCTTAAAACCCATCAAGTGTTTTCCATGTTAATTATATATTTAAAGAATTAACTGAAGACAGGTATTTAAAAAGCAACCTTAGTTTTTCCCAGGAGTCTCCCATCCAGGTACTGACCAGGCTCACACCTGCTGAGCTCCAGGGGGCTGCCAGCTGGGAGTTGCAGGGTGATATGGCTGCTGGCTGCAGCACAAAGGCTGGCTCTAAAATAAACATTGCTGTAGAGTTGGTAGCTTTCGGTCTCATAACAGCTATCATCTGATGAATCTATTGCACCGATGAATAACCTCCTTTAATTTTTACTCCTGTTGAATCTGCTAGGGCACTTTCTGCTCACCCACCTGCTGATCGATCTGGTCAAGAGATCGGCTCCGGCCCGCATCATTAATGTCTCCTCGATGGCGCACAGCTGGGGCAGGATCCAGCTGGAAGACATCAACAGCGAGAAGAGCTACGACTCGGGGAGGGCCTACGGCCAGAGCAAGCTGGCCAACATCCTATTCACGCGGCGCCTGGCGGAGAAGCTGCAAGGCAGGTGCCCTCAGGTTTCTGCAAGACGACAAGCCCACGTGACAAGTACACGACTTGTCAAGAAGTATATTTCCTTTAGAGGTTTTAACAGCACTTGTCTGTCAGTTTTCCCATGCTGCAGTAGTTCAGGTTGCCAGGGGGCAGTGGGATTGACTGGCAAGCCCCCTGAGTGTGCAGCTTGACCCAGGACTGAAGGCAGGAGGTTCACAGCAGGGGTTTGGCCTGCAGGCTCAGCTTTCAGCTCTTTTATCCACACAGGCAGCTTGGGAACATTTTTTTCTTTTAGTACAGGATCAGCCTGACCTTGTCTGATCAACACCGGTTTAAAAGTAAACTGTGCAGTGCCCCTGAGTAACCCAGAAGTGTTTCTGATTAATTGTACAACTAATCATTGGGAATGAGACTCACAAATGGGGCGGTGCGATGGCTCTGTAGCTAAGGATCTGCGCCCGTGGCTGGAAGGTTGCCGGTTCATATCCCGCGGCCGGCAGAGGAATCCTACTCCGTTGGGCCCCCGAGCAAGGCCCTTCACCCCAACTGCTCCAGGGGCGCCGTATAAATGACTGACCCTGCGCTCTGACCCCCAGCTTCTCTCCCTGTCCGTGTGTCTCATGGAGAGCGGGTTGTGGTATGTGAAAAGACACATTCCTAATACAAGAAATTGTATATGGCCGATAAAGTGATACATTTCTTAGAAGCACAAGCTCTACTGTAAAAACAGACTACTTGGGAAATCCCTCAGTGTGATTATAAATCGTCCTGGTTTTATTTTAATAAACGGTAAAGGGGCGGCGGGCTGGCACATTGCCAGTGCTCCCTTCCTCATGGGCGCCAGGGGTCTGACGCCGAGAAGCCAACCAGACCTGTTCCGCACGTCTGCGGAAGAAGAGCCCTATTAGAAGCACAGCCAGGACGTGCGGACTTCCCGCAGTCAGGCGCCCATCACTGTCCTTACTCAACCCCGCTCCCCTCCCCCACCGCAGGGACCGGCGTGACGGTGTACTCCCTGCACCCGGGCGTGGTGCAGACAGAGCTAGGCCGGCACCTCGGCGGGCCCATGCAGCTGGCCATGAAGGTGGTCAAGCCGTTCTCGAAGACCTCCGTGCAGGGAGCTCTGACCTCCATCTACTGCGCAGTGGCGCCGGAGCTAGAGAAGGAGAGTGGAGGGTACTACAGGTACTGTCTGCTGGCCGTCGCATGACTTCCCCCCTGGGAATTGGGCAGGTTTTCTGTTGTGCTGAAGCACGTCCGCTTGGCTAGGACAGCCTGAACAAGTAGGACAATGATTCTAAAAGGAACATTCATACTGGTACTTACTACAACTGCAGCTCTGTTTCCCCCATTTGCACAATTCTGCTGCGTGTGTGCTTGTATAAATCTTTCACGCTGCTCTGCGTATCGTTAGTAGCTTCATCCTTCAGGGGTAGGAAATGTGTAACAACCACACCACAAAATCACGTTCTTCCCAACTAATTTTGCAACTCTTTACACTGAAGGAGACAACTTCTCTGTCTCGTTTCCGAGGCCTTTGTCTTGTGCTCTGTTGCCCCCTGAACAACACGCTTGTATGGCCAGCGGAGACGAGGCATACTTTATGAACCTCGTTCTTTGCTTTCTTTTTCGACAGTGACTGTGCCCCAGCATCCTGCTCCAGAGCTGCTAAAGATGACGAAATGGCCAAGAAGCTTTGGGACTCCAGCTGTCAAATGCTTGGGATATCATGGGAGTGACAATACGGAACTGGAACTGCTGTGGGTCAAAACAGTTTGTAACCACTTACGGTTAATGGAGACAAGGAAGATCTAGGACTGGATTAGCACTTTAAGGCTGCTTAACAACTGCAGTGGAGTATAGTGTTGTCTGCCATAATGACCGATGCATCGGAAAACTAAAAGAAAACCTGATGCAATATCAGCTCATATTGGTTTGCTAGAATATTTTTCAACATTAGGGCCTCTTTATCCTAAAGAGTCTTTTTTAGACAAAAAATACAATATATATAGAAGAGAGTTTTATTATTTGGGTGGGTGGGGGAATTCACAGAATTTATGAAGAAAATAATTACAACATACTGTAACATTTTTTTCCACAACCATGTTGCAGTTTAGGATTTTTATTTTGATGAAGTATACACCGGAAACCCCGTTTTACAAGGAAGTATGAGAGTATGTGGCTTAAGTGTTTATTTTTTTCCAAATACTGCGTTTTCCAGAGAACCGAAGCCCTCATACAGAAATGTAAATGTTCGGAACTTTGGTTATTTTTTACTGTTCAAGTTACATGATATTCCAACTTTTGGGAAAAGATTCTGGAAGTCCTTTGTAAGAATATATTTTGGTACGATCAAAACGATTTTGCCTTAGTAAATAAAATGGTATTTTACTTTCCGGACTTTTGAGTTTTTGTTTGGCTAACAAAGACCGTCACTTCTAGTCGCTTTTCGTTATATAAAAGGTGGCTTGACGTTCAGACAAATTGTTGGGTTTTATTTATATTTTAAGTGCTAGCTAGTTTGCATACATGTATATCCATACAAATATTACTTATATGTATGACGTCATTTTGTATAGTCTCGTGAAGATTGTATAGTAAAGCAATAGAATTCGATGGTTTAATCGCATAATAATATGAAAAAAATCCAGAGAAATCGCAACAAATGAAAATCCGAGAAAACCTTTGGCGTGTACCATCATTTAATTCAATTTATTTGACACCGACTTTGTAAATATAAAAACGCAGTAGGTGATCAAGCTATTAATATTTAGAAAAAGCACCGCAGACATAATTTCAACTTAAAATCAACTAAAAAACGCTCAAGTGTAAAAACATTGAAAGATGTCTTCGTTAAATTCTGAAACACAGTATGCTCTTCATACCACCTCGAAATGCACTTCTGTTATAACTGTTTGAACACAACTCCCAAACTAATATGAATTAATACTTCGAGCGTCGCTACTCCCTTTATTTACTAAATAGATGCTACTTCGTAATCACTTCCGCCACCATCCGGGACTCGGACAACCCCGGAAATAAGGGATGTACTTCCGGGGGTGGGTTTCCAGTCGCACATGCGCACTGTGGGGGTTCGTAAAGCGACGTCAGCCTTTACTGCGTTAAAGAGGCTCCGTGCAGCTACGTGGCTTTTCTTGTGGAGGAAGACAGCGAGAAATCTGAAGTCGGAGGAGAGGTTTTCATTGTTAACACAGGTATGAACTGTGAAGATGTTGGTGGGTTCAGGAGCACAAAGCAAAGTCTTTGTTGTGGTGGAAAATATAGGTAAACCTGAGGATTGTATACGTAGGAGAAACCGATAAAATGTGTTTATCGAGCTGCGTTGTAATAGACCACAGTTGAGGCCTCTGGCGAGTGAAAACGCAGGTATCCTGAACTTACACGCATCTGTAAAAGTGCAGCAGCGTCCGAGTTGGTGTTAAATCTCGGTTTAATTCGGTTGCAGTGGTATTAATGACCTCGGCCTGGGCTATGTTGTGTGTGTGTTCGTGGCAGCTCGTACAGTGTTGATACCCGCAGTCCGAAGCTCCGGGTGCAGTGTTACCTTGTTGCTTCACTTGCAAGAAAAACTGAGTTTGTCTGGAAGTGAGAGTTCTCCCCGTGACCTTGTTTCTGATCATAACGCTACTGTACTGAAGACGTGAAAAAAACACACCTCTGTATTTCGCAGTTTAATGATACGGCTCTTTCGTAATGTTCGTGATTTATATTCTCGTTACTTTTTAAAAAAAAAATTAAATGCTATTCGGTTTTGATGATCACAAATTGATGTAAAAAAGTTATCTTGTGCGTGATTGTTTTGAATCGAGGGCGATGTTGGTGTTTTTGTGCCACGCAGCTAGAGTAGACTGAATACCCTCAGTTGCTGATATAGGGTTACAACATGATGTTATGTTGGTTTATAGGTTATTCATTTAGATAACCTCGGCCTTCTTCTCTTGGTTACTTATTGGTGTATCGGGTTATCTTGTTAGGGACGATTCAAAGAAGTTAAGTGACTTTTTCAGCCAGTATGGTAATAACGAAGCCGTGTTATGAATATAACCCATGCAGCCTATGTGGCATCTTTGCAGCTGACTGGCGTGAAGATCTCATCCTACCGTTTCTCGAATAAGGGCAGGGTGTTGGCCTCGACTCCGTGGCTGTGTAGCTTGTTCAGTAGGGCGTCCTGTTCTTAAGGCTTGAACGCGTTTCCTTGTAGCTGGATGAAACGTGAAGTGGAAAATAAATTGAAAACGGGTGATGTTTCGCTGTCACCTTTTAGGGCACGCCTTAACATTGATCTTGCATGTTAAGGTAACATTTTAGGAGGAATCTGTTGCACCATTGGGTTTAATGTGGAGAAAATTCCTTCAGGCGGTTCGCCTGAACTCCCGCTCCTCCTGCGCGTCTGAATTTGGTGCTCTTTGTGTTATCCAGCCCATTAAGATCAGCCGCCATGGATCAGGTGATGCAGTTTGTGGAGCCCAGCCGCCAGTTTGTGAAGGACTCGATCCGACTGGTGAAGAGATGCACCAAACCAGACAGGAAAGGTAAGACCTTCACTCTCCAGGCAGCAGAAACGCAGACTCCCCGCCAGGCTGCTGGAATGTGGAGGCAGATGCCCTGAGTTTCAGTAACACGTTACCCGTGTGCTCTTCTAGCTATTGGTGCTGCCTGGATACAGCCAATGCTCTCGTGAGGCTTGCAGTGTGGATTCGGTCAGAGTCTTCTATCTGGGAGCATTGCTGTTTTCAGAGCTTGCTTTGAAGTGACGAGACGTTTGCAGATGTTCTCTGCTTCAGCATTATTTAAGGCTTTATTTAAGCAGATCTGTGTCTGCCCTTTATATCATCTTCTGCATTTGAAACCCTCCTTTATAATTGTGCTAACTTTACCTCTTCAAGTTTTTATCTCTGAGTGTAAGGGCCCTATATAAAATAATAAATATATTATTCTCTTTTTGTCCTGCTCTATCCTGCAGACATCTGAATGTTTTCCAAGGCTGTAAGAAACAGATACTTTTCTCATGATAACATTGAATGAAATGTAGACCGCACATTTGAATTTCAGAGAGGAGATCAGGCTCCTTATGTACTGTAAATTGGGATTTTACAAGACACTTGGTTCATTTTTATTAATTTGAAAGTAATGTTCAACAGTGAAGCTTGAAAAACAGGCTTAGAACACACACTTTTTTAGACTTCTTAGTAAATGTAGGTTACAGAAGGGGAGTTAGTAGCCCATTTCATTGATTTGGATCACATTGGCTCAATGATCACTAGATTTTCCCCTGATAAAGGTTTGGCAGATTTCCCTGAAGCCCTCAAACTTTTATACTTTCTTGTCCGGTCTCATTGTTGACTTCAGCAAAGCCACATGAGTCTTTTTTCATTTGTGGTCTGCGTTGGCTTTATCCTACCACTTCACATTCTCACCTGTATATAACACGTCATATTTACTGATGGAGCATCTTCAGGATGCCTGGCAGCTTGTCGTCTTGTTCTGTAGAACTTGACTCCCAGCAATAAGGAAACCTGCTTTTAACCTTTGAATCAACCTCTGTAGTCTTAAGAGCTGAGCCCTTGCATACCAGAAGGTTGGAGTTAGGTTAATAGTTTTTGATGTGTAGTAAAATTGGCAGTTCTGATTAAACTGATAATCAGTATCTTCATGTTGTTGAAGTACGTTTTTTCCCCCCATCGTTAATGCGCCTTCCCTGTTTTCAGAGTTCCAGAAGATTGCCATGGCAACGGCGATTGGTTTTGCGATCATGGGGTTCATTGGGTTCTTTGTTAAACTGATCCACATCCCCATCAACAACATCATTGTGTAAGTGTTTGCTTCCCCGTCTGGGCTGGGTGTTGTGATTCACTTATACACTCGTCAGGTAACCTAGGAAACATTTTCTAAATGATTATTTGATCAGAAATGAGTATAAAAACAACCACAGAGCTTTGTCATTTTTTTATTGTTAAAATTGAGGTATATGTGTGGTAAAACGTGATGATGAATAGAATTTCCTCATTGACAGTATCTGGACAAAGGAACTTGAAGTGGTTTGGTTAAGCAGATATTGGACTGACTTAAGTTAAATTTGGAGCTGGATTGGAAACCTACAGACACCAGATCAGTACTGAAGAGCTGTGGTCTAAAGAAAAGTACATTGCTGATCCTAAATCATTACCAGCTTTTCATGCCTTTTAAGTTGGACGTTTTGATTTGAAAACCTCCTATTTCTCTTACAGTGGTGGTTGAGTCTTTGATCTGATGACTGGCTGGCAGGGGACAGAGGATTGAAGACCTTCAGTGGGGGTGGTGGGGCGGTGTGGTGCGTCACTTTTACATTCACTGTATATTTGTATTTGGCTGTGTTAATAAATGAAAACCCAAACTTGTGGCTTTGCATTCCTTCGGGGCCCTGTATGAGAAGATTATAGAAGCCACAGGATGTGGTCATATCTAGGGCCATGTCTTCTGTTTCCTGCAGATGCCCATACTCCAGAGCAGGGGCTGGTCTGTCCTCACTGTCACAGGCTGTCTTGTCTCTTGGGGATGATGTGACTCATAGGTGTTGGAGGTGCTGACTAGTTTTCCAAATTGAAGTAGCTGATTGTCTGAAATGGAGAAGGAAGCCCATTAGACTTGACATTAATTGAATCAAATTGCTGACTCTTCTTTGGAAACTAAGATTCAACAAGTCATTTTTAGTATTTTAAGTCTACTCCTTAAGAGTAGATAACCTGCACTTGGATATGTTGCAGATATTTTATTGCCATCGCCACTTCTCAGTTCAAGGCCATGTGAAGAAAATCTTCTGTTCCCCTCACAAGTGGCAGCCCGTTTGTAAATCAAGTAGTTTTTAGCTGTAGGTAAGGTGTGAAGAAACTTTGCAAAGGGCTCCAAGCCTCCTTCCCTCAGCATGCATATTGAACTCTTATTTCTGTTCAGAGAACTCTTAGGTGCCCAATTAGTGGTGTCCGTATGACACTGCATTGCACTAATAAGTGTCTGTAATGTACAGGTTCAACTGCGCCCCATACAACTGCATCACCATAAATTAGTTTACGGTCGGAATTCTTTACCATCTCCCCATCTGACATCCTAAGAGCCGTAATAATAGGGCCCAGCCCTGCCGAGCATCAGAGATATGATAATAGATCAGTCTGACGGAATCAAGAGATCAACTGAGAACCACCTCTAAAGAATAAAAGGAGTGCCCTTGTTGGTCCACTTTAAATCTCATCAGGAATTGTTATAGAGCAATAGCAGTGCTATTTCTGAAAGGTCTGTTTCTGCTTGGATCAGTTTTCAGTTCAGCAAAGGAAGGAATATATTTGAAAGGCCTTTTGGAGTATATAGAGCGAGGTTTTGTAATCCTGTACATATACAGTACAGCCAAAAGGACAATGACAGGTGTAGCATGTTACACGCCTCAAAAATCAGCGAAAGGACTAAACCACCTACAGGTGGCCAGCTCTTCCAGGCTCCGAAACCTACCATTGAACACAGAATTCAATGAGCAGGCGTCTCCCACCTATGGCTCTGTTTATTCTTGTTGGTACTGTGGTACAGTTTTCGTAACACTAAAGGAATAAACAGTGTCCAGCCAAGCTCCTCGTCCTCCATGTGCCAGGACATTCGAAAGACACCAAGCACGTTAACCCTTGTGCCAGAGGGAAGTTTGGCCCCAGTGTTCTCTCTTTGCAGCAGACTGGCGCAATGTGCTGTTCCGCTTGACAATGTAGCAGAAATCCACAGAGCCCAGCAAATCCTTCCAGAAGACTGCTATTCAACAACCGAAGCTTGCGCACAGCTGTTCCTTTTTTCCATTTTTGTAGATTTTTTTTTGCGTAGAACAGCAGTTTACCATGATTTTGAATATGCTATTAACTCCTGCCATCTTCCCTTCAATCAGGACAAATAGCTTAATGTGAGTCCAAGTGCTGCATTTTGGCACCTGCCGAGTTGTTTTACTACTTTTGGTTATTTATAGAAGATAAGCAAAACCCCGATATACACAAATACTAGGTGTAATTATATGATAAACGTAACAATCCACAAAATGTGGTGTGAATAAACGGCACTGAACTGTTTTACTGGGTCTGTCTCAATAGGTCTTATTTCGCATAAAGGGCCAAAATCTTTTTGTAAGCTAAAAAGTATCAGTGGTCTGCCCTCTAGTGGGCAATAAATTTATAGTTTATTCCCAGAGATGTTTGTAAAAACGATTCTTTAGGATTCAATCAAATGCACAACAATACAACATGCAGCAGTATTTGTAGGCAATTAAATGTCTTTTCTACGAGCTCACTGCGGGGGGATTAAAATTACAAAATAAGGTTACATCATAATAATAGTGCAATAGAAATGGAGTAAAATGAACTCAGAGAAAACTCAATATAAATTGAGCAGTTATGTGTCCAGGGTGAATGCAATACATAATGTCCAAGTAGTGCAGTATGCAGAATACAGTGAAAACTGTGTCCATGTAGCCATTACAGGTGATTTGCTGAAGGAGCTGCAGGTTGGCTAGCAGTCTTTTAAGCCTTTGTGTGGATGTGTTGATTTCTCATATCTTGATTTTACATCTCTTTTGGTTGAGGTCTGTTGTTTTCAGGTCTGTCTCTCATTGTCTTTTTCTATCTTATTGTTCATACAGATTTTCTTAATATCTGACAATAATTTACTTTATGCTGCTGGTACAGGACAAAATAAATAATTAAACTTTAAGGCCTGTGTGTCACACCTTGAACACTACTGATCTCCCTGTTGGCACTGCGCAGCCTGAAGTCATACATTGCTAAAATATAAAAGGATCCTTATTGTTAAAAGTTTCTCATTAAAAGTCCTTGGCAAAATTTCTTTTAGGAAGGCTAGTTTTTTTACTTGACGTAGTTTTGTAACTCGCAGGGTCACCACCTGTGCAATATATTTAGGTTTTGTATTGAGCTCGTCTTTTTTCTATGCATGTGCCTCATCACAGTCAATTAAAACTATTTGCTATCCTTTCAGTCCCTTTTATCAGCAATTTGAAAGTAAAAGGCACATTCAAGCAGAGGAAAGCGTCTGAAAAGGCTAATTTCTTTTTCTATTCATTTAAAAAAAGAGGTTAGTACTTAACACTCTAAAATGATATAATGGGCCTTGGGACACAACCTGCGTGCTTCCTCCTGTGCTTGGTTGGCCGAGTTTGTGCGTCTGTTCTGTTATATAGTGGACAGTTTCTTTTGAAAATGGGCACAGGCAGATACAACGAGCCTCTCAATGCAGTTTCAGGATGGAGGATGACCTTTTAGGGATGTCGCAAAAATAAATGTTTCAATAGGTGGGCATAACATCAGTTATCTTAAATAAACAACCGTAAAAGACTTGGACCATTTTGAGATGTTCATTAATTCTTAGTGATCCACTGAGCTGCTGAACTCATTCAACACACATCTAGAAGTCAAAAGGTTAATAATTGCAGGAACTAGAGGAGAACAAGGTCCTTGCTGGAACAATCAGAACTTTTTTTGTCCTGAATATCAGACCTGTGATGGAGGCTGCGTCTGAGTGAAAGTACACAGGAAGTGTCCGTGTGTTCTGGTCATCCGCAGCAGTGGGACAGCCACCTTCAGCTTTTAATACAGCAGATACTACAGACAACCCAGAGCCATCAGAGTGCTGAACTGACTTCAGCAAGACCAGCTGCTGCAAAAGAATCTGTCTCAGAAACATTACTTCTGTGCAGGAGCCTTCTGCTGTATTTTTATATTAGATCCCCAGAAAGAAACAAAAGTCATATTTTCTCTAATGTGGCCGATACTTTAGTTGTTAGTTATCACTCTTGAAGCCTTGAAATAAACTGAAGGGAAATTGCTTCCTCAGATGAAGAACGTGACCAGCGAAGTTTCTTCCTTTGTAAACTTCATTGTGAAGTGGTGGAGGAGTATGTATGTCTGATACCAGAAGTGTTGGGACAGCAGGCGAATAAGGAGAGGACAGCTGTGTAAACTGTATTGAACAGGGGAAGGCCAACCCTTGAAGCTGATGACATCCCTCTACACTGGATAAGTGACCAGAGCCACAGCCTCCCTCTGCAGCACAGTGTGCCGTATAGCATGGCTCCTGCTGGCTCCATAGCACTGAGGGCAGGACTCAAGGCACGTGAGCAGTGCAGGTGCAGAAGAGGGCGTTTTTTTTCTTTCTTTCACTTCATAGGAAAAGTCAGGTAGGTAGCAACTAGGCAGCTCTTGTCAGTGGCAGTTCACAGCGGCAGGGTTTTGCTCAGCCAGGAAATATCCGGCCTGTACGATTGCGAGATAACTGTAAGATATTGCCGTCTCCTTTTCCCACAGTTGCTGACTGGTAACTAAGCTGCTTTCAACACTGAACTGAAAGACCCCCTGTGTTGTCCAAACTGTTACTATAAAAGTCTGCCTTGAACCCCCATGTCACTGGGTCTCAGAAGTTCAGCAAGGCTGAGCCTGGCCAGTCCTGGGATGGGAGACCTCTAAGGCAAAGCAGGCTACTGCTGGAGAATAGAGAGTAATACTGCTTTCCTGATATTGCACTACTAGTAACACTTTATTTGAGGTGTAAAGTATGCAGACTGTTGTATACTGTACTCTTTTATCTGTCTCTCATGTGACCAGTGGCTTCAGCCATTTCACTGCCTGAGAGAGACAGGAGGATCGGACAGCCTGACATACTATAAAGGCTGACATACAGGGCCAGCTGGATGGACATGAATCGAATTTACTGATTAGTTGAGATGAGCTAGTTGTCACTTATGAGTAAGGTGGTTTCGAAAAGCTCCATCATTAAGGGCTGCGCAGGAAACATTTTTTCCCTCTTCTCATGACAGACACTGCGAAAGACAGCTCATTTATCGAGCGACACTAAATCATACACAGGAGCAGACGGAGCTTTTCATCGCATTTATCAGTTTAAACTGCAGAGTAAGGAACCTAGCCCCATTTCTTCATGTAACAAAAAATCTAATTTGTCTGGTTAAAGTCCTATTACCCTTAATTTCCAAAGGGCTAATTTTTCCTTCTTATGGCTTTTTAGTGTCGACTCCCAGGCCTGATTACTTTGTGATGTTCTTTTGCCAAACTGCTGCCTGCGCCAGTGGGCCACACTGAGTCAGCTGCCCAGTCTCACTCTTCCATCATCGAGCAGCGAAGGCCTTAACTCTCACACATCACACATATTCTGTACAGGCATCACCCCGCTGGGAAAGCTGGAAAGGGCAGCTCTGAGCTCCACAGCTCCAGATCTGCCTTCGGGTCTGGCTGCCCTTATTTATCGTCAGTTCATGTTCTGATGCAGAAAGCTGGATTTCAGAACTAAACCCCTCCCTGCGCCATAACATCCCGTAGATGTTGTTTTCCTTTGTCATAATGATTACTGTCGAAGTGGAGCCCCATTGTTCACAGAGACAGTGCGCCTCACATTGAAGGTCAATAGCAGGTGCTGGTTCACTGTCTGAGAGACAGCAGGAAAGTCACAGGCCCCACGCCAGGCAGAAGAAACTGAGAACCAACCGAACGAGTGCATGCATGCAACAGACACTGCAATTCCCTTTCCTGCTGCATGGGACTGTCAGCATTAATTATGAGCCACAGTTCAT